TCTTTGAGGTATATACATACTACGTCTGCCGTCTTATTTCTGTCTCTATTTCCTCTTCTTAATATGCACCTTCCCCACCTCTGTGAACTAATATCTACGCCCTGTAACTAGCCAAGCTGAATATCATGTCCTGTAATTTTAAGTGCCTGTGGCAGCATGACATGGGTGTGCATTAATTAGCTTATTTTGTGGTGGTGTGCATTAGTTAGAATTGGCTCAAAAAGCATCCTGAGAGCCCTCGTGTTGTGGCCGGCATTCCAAGTGCAGTGAGGGTATGTGCTTAGATTTCACACGATGTGCACTATAAGTGACACCCTACAGCAAGTCACATTAATTTTTTATGTTGAAAAAGTACAAGTTCCAGGCATATATACTCTGAACAAGGGACACTATGGGGCCAACAATCTTGTCCCTTGTAGAGAGGTTGTCCCTATCTCAGAGGGTCCCTCATCGGAGGTTCCACTATTATGTGCTTCACCTCTCTCCCTCCTCTCCCTCCCTCTCATCTCTCTCCCTCATCTCCCTCCTCATCTCTCTCCCTCCTCCCCCTCCCTCTCATCTCTCTCCCTCCTCTCCCTCTCCCTCAGATATCTGGTGTCGCAATAGCCCTCGCTCTGTGTATCTGTCGCTTGCATGAAGAAATCCAAAGAGGACGACTTTGCGGTCGACGATTACGTGTACTAATCACTCCTTCCATTCACGTCTTGTATGATTATCATGTTTTACTGATTTTAACTTGTGTGCCCTCTATAACTGATAATATGCACCATTCAATACGTTTGTGTCTATTCAGTATTCACCTCCGAGTATTATTATAATTTGTATAGATTTTAAAATTGGTAATTTTTGTGATGCACTAAAGAGATTAAAAATCGTGCTACATGAAATGATATAATTACACTTGATTGCGAATATTATTATGATATGTGGAGGTTCATCTATATTTTATCAGAGTATAGTTTCATGGCTGGTAATAATGATAGGGGTCTAGCTTTATTCCCCTCAGTCGAAATCGGTGCAGCACAGCAGACATATAGCCATCAGTACCACAATCACCTTGAAACCAAAATATAATTAGCTATACTTTACTCTTATGCGGGTACAGATATGTACTATATTATACTAAATGAATCATTGTTAGCAAATGCAAGAGTCACCGGCCCACGTACGGTAATACATGATTGCATAACTTCAATTCTGTTTCATCTGTTCACAGTTCCATAAAGCATTAAAGTATATAGTTGTCGCCATTGGGAATTATATGTAATGGAAATACCGCACTTAGGCGGCTAAGTAGACTGGCTTTAATGAACTCAAGTGTCAAACAGTAAGTAATAATTCTTATAGTTGCACGAGTAAAGAGATGATTCCTTTAGCCTATACGCTATTTTTTTATCTTTCTCTTTGCATGAGAATACAGAGAGAGTGACGTGCGGAAAATTTTACCTCGGCGACGACAAAGGTTATGGCTACTGAGGCGACGACTAGAAGATTGTCTCGTATGAATGAAGTGAGAGCATCCTCGCATCCCTGTGGGAATGCATAGATAAAGGTGAACTGCAAAACAAAAATGTCGGTTGTGTTGAATACATTAGGGGAGACGGGGTTGATATGTAATCAGAAAGGTAGAAGACGAAAGCAAAATACAATAATACACAGGTGAAAAAACACAATAATTATGTAGTAAGTAAAACACTTAAGTATTAATTTATAAGTCGAAAAAGTCACATGGAGTAGACATAATGGTGAAGAGCATTGGTAATAAGCAGGTGGAAATGACATTAGACTCAGTAAAAACAAGCTAGACAATTTTGTGACTTACATCTCGATAGACGTTGGTGAGTGAGCAAGGAGGCAGGTTAGAAGAGGCGTTTACCACCGGGTCGTTTGAACAGCAACTCGCGGGATAGCTGTTGACGTTGGGATCGTCTGCCCAGTCCGTATAGTTGTTGACCCCACAGCACTCCAACTATTGTATGCAGGGAGAGACATAATTATTATGACATAATAACAATTGTAGCAGAGTGGGTTAAATTTCCTATCCAAGCATATAGAGTTAAGGCTCGTATATATCCGTCTGTGTTCGTGCCTCACAAGACACACGGTTTTCTTGTGCTGCATTCTCGGAATTATGTACGTATCTTATGTAGATGGGAATATCCCCCCCCCCGCCCGAAAAAAGTTTCTATGGTTTCTCACCTATAGGTTTTGCAAATGCTAGTTTTTGAACACCACTACATTATTTATAGCTAATTGTGCAGAATCACTAGGATTTGCCCCAAAACACTGAATGAAATGTGGAAACTATTCCAGAGGTGTTGGGGGAATAAACTCGATCACCACTGTGAATGACCACGCATCACAGGCTCACGTTCTCCTGGACAAAGTCCCAGGCATCTGTGATGCTCTCTCCTCTGTTGGTGTCCTCGCCAAACTCTGGCATCGTGTCGTTGAGTCCATCTCGCACTAAATCGACCACCTGCATCACAGTCTCTAGCATGTAATACTCTGAGCATAGGTACTGTACACCATAATTATATATAAATACGTAGTGAACTACAGTGGAACCTTCGATAAGGGACCCCACTGAGATAGGGACGACCTCTCTACAAATGACACTTCAACCCCATACTATTATTTGAGCTCCGAGACAGGGACGGCCTCTCTACAAGAGACAAAATAGTTGGCCCGCACAAAAATGCTGAAATAAAGAATAAAGTGGCGAGGGTTATGCACTTTCAAGTGCTTTTCATTCAGAGTTTAGAGGTACCATGTCTAGATCATGTTTTTACATAGCAGTGATCATGTTTACATAGCAATGTATATACCGCATTCGTATAACATGCTCCCCCCCCTCCCCCCGCCCCCCGTTGTTTCCCGCAGCACGATATATAGCCATAGCAATTGTAGACATCTATACAGAGAAAAGCCTAAACTAAAATTTAATATAATTGGGTGATTATAACTTTAACAACTCTGACTACGATGATGCCGTCTTTCAAGTATTGGGTTTTCTTTGCAGCGTTGTATTCAAGGGCAGTGCGAGCCATAAATTGATGATTCCCCCACCCTCCAGATTTCTCTGTGTTTGTCACTCTACCGGCAATGTAGGTGATGGTCTCCTCGACGTGGCTGTGGTCTCCAGCCTGGTTGACTATCTGGACCGTTATCTCTCCTCTGAACGGCCATTTCAGGAGGTCGTCGTATGCACCTTGCATTAGCTGTGATGAATCTAATAGAGTACATGAGTTCCTTACATTTCCACACCATTCGGATTTAAGATTTAAAATGATGCGCATTTGGTAGCCAGATGAGTGGGTGTGAAAGGGAGGTAAATGAATTCCCCCCTTATCTTTGTCATACTTCACTCGGAAATCAACAGGGAATCCTCCCACCATGAGCTTCATTGGGAGTGTTTCTTTGAGAATTTCAACTTCTTTCTCTGTAGCATTCCATTTGTCTTTCAGCAACTCATTCTGTTTTCGCAGTTCCTGATTCTCTTTCAGGAGGCTCTGTGTAACGGTAGCCAGCAGTTCAGATGTGTGACAAGTGTCTGTCATGTGCTCAGGCATGTCTTTGCGAGCGTCTCATACTCACCCCACAACCAGTATAGTGGAGTGGGCAGTCGATTCCGTGAGGGACATTCGTCTTCAATGTGTTTCTCAATGTCCTGCTTCTTGAAAGGATCCTTTTGACATTTGTTGGGGCATGTGACTGGATACAACTCGCAATGAAGATAGTGGATTTCAGTAACTTCTTTGAATGTTGACTCGTATTCGTGGCAGTATTCACAGGTAAAAGGCCGCTCTGGACACTCCTGGTTTTGGTGGGAGCGATGTGGCGACGCTGTGAACCATTCCACACATCCATGCTCACACCTATCTATTCTCACAAACTGACACCCCAGTCAGCTGGTTCTCTGGAGACGGATTCGATTCAGGTGCCGTTCGTATTCTCCAAGTTTCTCCCCCTCCATTTACGCCGTCCTTGTGTGAGCACCACACATCCTGGGCCTTCAGATATCTCTCCCGTCCGTAGTCCCGCATGAAGCTAAACTCCGTTGTTTACATAACGACAATTGCTTGTCGTCTTCCTTGATTTGCTCCACGTCAACTCGCGGCAGATCTTTTGTCCACAGGGACAACTGATGACGCACGGCTCTCAGAACGTGAAGACAAATCGGACAGTCGGTCTGAAACGCCACGGGCGGTGGCAACGACGAACTCGCAATCGTATCCCACCGCGGTCCCCAATCCCACCGTAGGAACAGTGACTGAATCTAGCGGGACTATCGTCGTCTCGCAGCGTCTGATGAAAATTGCTCCAATGGAACTCAGCCATTTGCTGCCCACACGCGAGCGGGAAAAGGCGTGTCATGTGCTGCGTACGCGGCGCGCGCGGGAGCCCCGATAACAAGAGGGCCTGGGAACGAAGGCTAATCACACTGATGCTCACGCACTGCAGATCATGTGAATAAACTGAATAGTGCGCTTGTGTTGTTCGGTTGTTCTGTGTGTGTAGACAGAACACATACGTTACAACAGTGTGACTTCGCTAAACGGACAACGTTTCTTCAATACTGAGTGTTTCCCTCTTTTGAAGATCAGAGCGAGGAAAAACTGGTTATAACCCCATCCTTGCGATCTTTTACCAGCCACCACTCTATTACCGAATCTTCTACTGTTGCACTCGTTGTAAATGATACTGTTCTCGAAATGATCGTGATCTCCAGCCTGGTTGACAATCTGATAGCTATCACTCCTCTGAAAAGGCCATTTCAGGTGATCGTCAACTGCCCTTTGTAGGTACACAAAGAGTAACACGTGGGTTCCTCTTCTCTCTCCGATACCTCTTGGAACTACTCTAATGCAAGGCATCCAGTGTCACTTATTCAGTGTTTAGAGGATATACTATGTACACTGGTATAGATCATGTTTACATCATTATCATAACAGTGTACTGCATTCGTAACACATGGCACTCTAATAGTGACAGTGCACATTTATTCAAATGATCACATGGCAGTATCAAAACGACACAATAACAACTCTGACGATGATGAGTGATCATCGCTTCAAGTATTGGGTTCTTGTGGCAATGTCATTCAGGGCAGAGTGTGAGTCACATAATATGTTTTTGTCTCCCGTCACCCCTCAGATTTGTGTTTGTCAATCAGTCCGTTCTTCTTTTTTGTCACTCTCCCTGTACTAGGTTGTCCTCTCTTACCGGCACGGCATCCGTATCATTATCATCGTAGGGGAAAGTCTCTCTGGCGTGGCAGTGGTTTACAGCCATGGTTGACTAGCAGGACGTTATCTCTCCTCTGAAACGGCCACATATGTCAGGTGGTCCGTCGTATGGGACCTTGCAATAGCTGCGTGACAATAAAGGATACACGATTCTTTACACCCGTTTTACACCAGTTGATATGATTGAATGCGCATTTGGTAGCAGATGAGTGGGTGTAAGAAGGTGACAATAATCCTTGTCTTGTCATACTTGACGTGGAAATCAACAGGGCATCATCACCATGAGCTTCATTGGGAGTGAGTGTTTCTGAGAGGGAATTTCCAACTTCTCGTCTCTGTTAGGCATTCTGTGTCTTTCAGCACCTCATTCTGTTTTCGCAGTCGTGATTCTCGTTCAGAGGCTCTGTATAACGGTAGCCAGAGCAGTGCAGATGGGGTGGCAGTGTAGCTCTGTCAGGTGCTCAGGCATGTCTTTGCGAGGCAGTCTCACCCTCACACCGCGTAGTGGAGTGGGCAGTCGATTTCCGCGAGGGGACATTCGTCTTCAATGTGTTTTCTCATGTCCTGCTTCTTGAAAGGATCTTTTCGGCATTTGTTGGGGCATGTGACTGGATACACTCGCAATCAAGATAGTGCTTTCAGTGACATCCGTGAATGTTTGATTTAATGAGTGGCAGTACTCACAGGTCAAGGTCGCTTGTGGCACACCCCCTTTTGGTGGGAAGCGATGTGGTGACGCTGGAACCACTCCCCACACCCATGCTCACACTCTACTCGCTACAACTGACACCAGTCAGCTGTTCTCTGGAGACGATTTGATTCAGGTGCTGTTCGTATTCTCCAAGTTTCCCCGTCCATTACAGCCTTCCTTCTTGTGTCGAGCACCACACCTCAAATTCTCCAAGAGATCTCTCTAGTCCGTAGTCCTCGCAAGTAGTGAAGTCCGTTTTGTTGCACAGAGGACACGGCTTGTCGTCTTCTTGATTTGCTCTACGCACTGCGGCAGATCTTTTGTCCACAGGGACACACTGATGACGCACGGCTCTCTCAGAACGTGAAGACAAATTGGACAGTCGTCTGAAACGCCCGCGGGCGGTGGCTCGACGAATTTGCAATCGTATCCACGCAGCGGTCCCCAATCCAACCGTACGGAACAGGACTGAATCTAGCGGGACTACCGTCGTCCATCTCTCAGCGTCTGACGAAAATTGCTCCGATGGAACAGCAGCCATTTTGCTGCGGGGGCGAGGGGCAAAAGGCGTGTCATGCGCATGCGTACGCGCGCGCGCCCGCGATTATTGTCATGTCGTGGGTGTATATAGCAGTCCGTAACAAAAAGGGACTGGGAACGAGCACTGATGCTCACGCATAAGACCGTGTGAATAAACTGAATAGTGCACTTGTGTGTTGTTCTGTTGTTCTGTCATTCTGTGTGTAAACAGAACATATGACGTTACAACAGTGTGACTTTCGCTAAACGGACAATGATGATGTCGTTCTTCAAGTATTGAGTGTTCTTCTTAGGATTGTATTGAAGATCAGAGCGAGGAAAAAACTGGTCATAACCCCATCCTTGCGACCTTTTACCATCCACCACTCTATTACAACAATCTTTTACCGTTGCATCGTTGTAAATGATACTGTTCTCGAAATGATCGTGGTCTCCAGCCTGGTTGACTATCTGGATAGCTATCTCTCCTCTGAAAGGCCATTTCAGGTGATCGTCAAACTGCCCCTTTTGTAGGTACACAAAGAGTGACATGTGGGTTCCTCTTCCTTCATCGAGACCTCTTGGAACTACTCTAATGCACATTCTATATCCGCTGGAGTGCGTATAAAAACCAGGCAAAAAAACGTCACCATCTTTGTCTTCGATTCGGAAATCGCAAGGGAGGCCCAGTTTGTGAAATTTCAACTTCTGGACTTCATCCTTGAGATTTTGGATTTCGCTCTTGTGTGCTTGCAAACTCTGGTTGACAGCTGACATTTTGAATTCCCTTTCATTCATTTTCTGTCCCAGTGTTTGGTTCTCTTTCGTTAGCGTATCCACAGTCGAGTTCCTCTTTTCCGCGGTGTGTCGCAGTTCCTGATTCTCTCTCTTGAGGTCCTCAGTTGTCTGTCGCAGCTCCTGATTCTCTTTCTTGAGGTCCTCAGTTGTCTGTCGCAGTTCCTGATTCTCTTTCTTGAGGTCCTCAGTTGTCTGTCGCAGTTCCTGATTATCCTTCTTTAGGTCCTCAGTTGTCTGACGTACCTCCTGATTCTCTTTAAGGAGGCTCTGTGTAACGGTAGCCAGCAGTGTCAGATGTGTGACAGTGTCTGTCATGTGCTCAGGCATGTCTTTGCGAGGAAGTCTCACCTCACAACCGGCGTAGTGGAGTGGGCAGTCGATTTCCGTGAGGGGACATTCGTCTTCAATGTGTTTCTCAATGTCCTGCTTCTTGAAAGGATCTTTTCGGCATTTGTTGGGACATGTGACTGGATAAAACTCGCAATCAAGATAGTGCTTTTCAGTGACATCCGTGAATGTTGATTTATATTCATGGCAGTACTCACAGGCAAAAGGTCGCTTGTGGCACACCCCCTTTTGGTGGGAAGCGATGTGGCGACGCTGGAACCACTCCCCACATCCATGCTCGCACTCTATCGCTTCAAACTGACACCCAGTCAGCTTGTTCTCTGGAAATGGATTTTGACTCAGGTGCTGTTTGTATTCTCCAAGTTTCCCCGTCCATATACAGCCTTCCTTCTTGTGCGAGCACCACACCTCAAATTCCCCAAGAGATCTCTCTAGTCCGTAGTCTCGCAAGTAGGTAAAGTCCGTTTTGTTGCACAGCGGACACGGCTTGTCGTCTCTCTTGATTTGCTCCACGCACTCGCGGCAGATATTTTGTCCACAGGGACAACTGATGACGCACGGCTCTCTCAGAATGTGAAGACAAACCGGACAGTCGGTCTGAAACGCTGCGGGCGGTGGCTCGACGAACTCGCAGTCGTATCCACCGCGGTCCCCAATCCCACCGTACGGAACAGGACTGAATCTAGCGGGACTACCGTCGTCTCTCTCAGCGTACGATGAAAATTGCTCGGATGGAGCAGCAGCCATTTTACTGCGATACGCGGGGGCCCACACGAGCGCAGAGTGCCACACAAGCGCAGAGTGCGCGGCCACCGGAATTAAGGCGTTTGGACTCTTCGAAGTATCTGTCTCTCCTCTTCTTCATATGCACCTTTCCCACCTCTGTGTCCTAATATCTACGCCTTCTAACTATTGTCGACAAGCCAAGCTGAATATAATGTCCTGTAATTTTGGGTGCCCATTGCAGTGTGAAGTGGGTGTGCATTAATTAGAATTGACTCTAAAAGGAGCCAGAGAACTCTCGTGTCTCAGAGGGTCCCTTATCAGAGGTTCCACTATATGTGCTTCATCTCTCTCCCTCCTCTCCCTCTCTTTCACCGCTCTACCTCCCTCTCATCTCTCTCCCTCCTCTCCCTCTCTTTCACCTCTCTCCCTCCCTCTCATCTCTCTCCCTCCTCTCCCTCCCTTTCATCTCTCCTCTCCCTCTCCCTCAGATATCTGGTGTCGCAATAGCCCTCGCTCTGTGTATCTGCGCTTGCATGAAGAAATCCAAGGAGGACGACTTTGCGGTCGACGATTACGTGTACTAATCACTCTCCTTCCCGATTCACGTCTTGTATGATTATCATGTTTTACTGATTTTAACTTGTGTGCCCTCTATAACTGATAATATGCACCATTCAATACGTTTGTGTCTATTCAGTATTCACCTCCGAGTATTATTATATTGTATAGTATTTTAAAATTGTATTTTTGTGATGCACTAAAGATATTAAAATCGTGCTACATGAAATGATTAATTACACTTGATTGCGAATATTATTATGATATTGGAGGTTCATCTATATTTTATCAGAGTATAGTTTCATTGCTGGTAATAATGATGGGTCTACTTTATTCCCCTCAGTCGAAATCCGGTACAGCACAGCACATATAGCCATCATTACCACAATCAACTTGAACCAAAATATAATAGCTATACTTTACTCTTATGTGGGTACAGATATGTGTACTATATTATACTAAATGAATCATTGTTAGCAAATGCATTGGGAATTATACGTAATGGAATACCGCACTCAGACGGCTAAGTAGACTGGCTTCTTCCCTAATAATGAACTCAAGTGTCAAACAGTAATAGTTGCACGAGTAAAGACCTTTAGCCTATACGCTTTTTTTAAATATCTTTCTCTTTGCATACATGAGAATGCAGAGAGCGTGACGTGCGGAACATCTTACCTCGGCCACGACAAAGGTTATGGCTACTGAGGCGACGACCTAAGATTGTCCTCGATAGAATGAATGAGAGCAATCCTCGCATCCCTGCAAAACAAAAACTATCAGTTGTGTTGGAAAGTACCGTACATTAGAGGAGACGGGGGTCGATAAATTTGAGCAAAACGACTATTAGGGGGAAATTTCGCATTAATTTTGCCGACGTATGCCTGATTTTCCCCCGTGTACGGTCACAATTTATCACGGGAAGGAAGCATGGAACAAAACAAAAATTAATGCAACTTTCGGTGGATAATAGAAGACAAAAAGCAGTGCATACGTACATGCAGGTGGAAAACATTTAGAAAGACAAGTAAAAACTTAAGTATTGAAGGGGTATGTACCTGGTAATATCTTTATAACTTCATTGGTTAAATTCTACTATGCCAAGGAACAAGAAAAATATTTTTTTTGATTTTAAGGCTGTTTTAATGCATATTCATGAGTTTGTGTCCCATACATTTCTATACAAGCGGGGAAATGTGCATTAAATTTTCATGCCAAAAAGTTACATGAAGTAGACAATTTTGTGACTTACATCTCGGTAGACATTGGTGAGTGAGCAAGGAGGCAGGTTAGAAGAGGCGTTTACCACCGGGTCGTTTGAACAGCAACTCGCGGGATAGCTGTTGACGTTGGGATCGTCTGCCCAGTCCGTATAGTTGTTGACCCCACAACACTCCAACTATTGTATGCAGGGAGATAATTAATTATGACATAACAATTGTAGCAGAGTGGGTTAAATTTGCTTTCCTAGCAAATAGATTTTCATGGCCTAAGGCTCGTATATATAATATCCATCTGTGTGCATACCTAACAAGACACACGGTTTTCTTGTGCTGCATTCTGAGAATTATGTACGTATCTTATGTAGATGGGGAAAAAAATTTCCTCCGCAAATAACTTCCATGGTTTCTTCACCTATAGGCTTTTGCAAATGCTAGTTTTGTGAAGACCACTAAATTATGGCAAATTGTGCAGATCACTAGGATTTTCCCCAAAAGACATAATACAAGGAAATGTGCAAACTCTTCCCAGAAGTGCTGGGGGAATGAACTCGATCACCACCGTGAATGACCACGCATCACTTGCTCACGTTCTCCTGGACAAAGTCCCAGGCATCTGTGATGCTCTCTCCTCTGTTGGTGTCCTCGCCAAACTCTGGCATCGTGTCGTTGAGTCCGTCTCGCACTAAATCCACCACCTGCATGACAGACGTGGTACCATAATCTCTTTAATAGATGTAGTATAATACCTATGCACTACAGTTGAAAGATGTTTATATAGATGTTTTGGTTATTACATCGTCATGAGTGTACATGAACACATGTATTACATGGAATCAGGATAACGGTTTTCAGTGTCATCCGCGAATGTTGACTCGTATTCGTGGCAGTATTCACAGATGAAGGGCCGCTCTGGACACTGCTGGTTCTGGTGGGAAGCGATGTGGCGACGCTGGAACCACTCCCCACATCCATGCTCACACTCTATCGGCACAAACTGACACCCAGTTAGCAGGTTCTCTGGAGATGGATCTTCATTCAGGTGACGTTCGTAGTCCCCAAGTTTCCCCCTCCATTCACAGCCGTCCTTCTTGTGTGAGAGCACCACACCTCAAATTCCCCAAGAGACCTCTCTAGTCGTAGTCTCCCAATAGGTAAAGTCCGTTTTGTTGCACAGAGGACATGGCTGTCTGTCTTCCTGATTTCCTGTTTTTTGTCCACGCACTCGCGACATATCTTTTGTCCCAGGACAACTGATGACGCACGGCTCTTCAGAACGTAAAGACAAATTGGACAGTCGTGGTCTGAAACTCAGCCGCGGGCGGTGGCTTGACGAACTCGCAATCGTATCCCCGCGGTCCCCATCCCACTGTACGGAACAGGACTGAATCAGCGGACTTACTGTCGTCTCTCTCAGCGTCCGATGAAAATTTCTCCGTTGGAACAGCAGCTGAGAAACGCGGGGCCCCCAGAGTGCCCCCCCCCCCCCCCGTAAGTAAGGCGTGTCATGTCCATTCTTACTCGCGGCGCCCGGGCCTAGCCTATATAGCCTGGGAACGAAGGCCAATCACACTGATGCTCACCCACAAGACCACTCTACAGAAGACAAAAATAGTTGGCCCTATAGTTCCCTTGTTAAAGATTCACTGCACATATATGTACATAATTATATTGAGTATATTAGGGGCATCTAATTCAGTGTTTAGAGGTATATACTATGTACATACTGGTCTAGATCATGTTTACATCATTATCGTAACAGTGTACTGCATTCGTAAAACATGGCACTCTAAATAGTGACAGTGCACATTTCAAAATGCATGTATTACATGGCATTTTCAAAACGAAACAGTAACAACTCTGACTATGATTATGTCATCTCTTAAGTACTGGGTGTCATTCTCAGCATTGTACTCCAGATCAGTGAGAGCTAGGAACTGATGAAACCCCCATTTCGTACCTCTCTCCTTGCCAGTCACTCTACCAGCAGAGGAATCTGGTGTCTTATCATGGTAGGTGATGGTCCTCTCGACGTGGCTGTGGTCTCCATCCTGGTTGACTATCTGGACCGTTATCTCTCCTCTGAACGGCCATTTCAAGTGGTCATCATATTCGCCTCGCATCAAGTAGGCAAAGATTGATACATGAGTTCCTTTACCATTTCCATTTCCATCCGGGTACACACGAATGTACATTTTGTAGCCATGAGAGTGACTAAAAAAGCTAGGTAAACGTACAGTTCCTTCACTCTTTGTGATACGGTATTCAACCGGTAGCCCCAACTTCTGAGCTCTGAGCTCTTTTACTTCTTGCCGCAGTTCCTGATTCTCTTTCTTGAGGTCCTCAGTAGTCTGACGTACCTCCTGATTCTCTTTCAGGAGGGTCTGTATAACGGTAGCCAGCAGTGTCAGATGTGTGACAGTGTCTGTCATGTGCTCAGGCATGTCTTTGCGAGGAAGTCTCACCTCACAACCGGCGTAGTGGAGTGGGCAGTCGATTTCTTCAAGGGGACACTCGTATTTAATGTGTTTCTCAATGTCCCGCTTTTTGAAAGGATATTTTCGGCATGTGTTGGGGCACGTGACTGGATACAACTCGCAATCAAGATAGTGGTTTTCAGTGATGTCGGTGAACGTTGACTCATATTCGTGGCAGTATTCACAGGAGTAAGGCCGCTCTAGACACTCCTGGTTCTGGTGGGAAGCGATGTTGTGACGCTGGAACCTCTCCCCACACCCATTCCCACACTTTATCTCCAGAAACTGACACCCAGTTAGCTGGTTCTCTGGAGACGGATTTTCGTTCAGGTGCTGTTCGTATTCTCCAAGTTTCCCCCTCCATTCACAGCCGTCCTTCTTGTGTGAGCACCACACCTCCTGGGCCTTCAGATATCTCTCCAGTCCGTAGTCACGGATATAGGTGAAATCTGTTTTGTTGCACAGAGGACACGGCTTGTCGTCTTCCTTGATTTGCTCCACGCACTCGCGACATATCTTCTGTCCACAGGGACAGCTTATAAGGCACGGCTCCTTCAGAACGTGAAGACAAATCGGACAGTCGGTCTGAAACGCCGCGGGCGGTGGCTCGACGAACTCGCAGTCGTATCCACCGCGGTCCCCAATCTTGCCACACGGAACAGGACTGAATCTACCGAAACTATGGAGGTCTATCTCAGAGTCTGATAAAAATTGCTCCGATGGAACAGCAGCCATTTTGCTGCGAAAACGCGGGGGCCCGCACACGGGCGGCCGGCCGCGCGCCCGGGGGAAAGGCGTGTCATGCGCATGCGTACGCGCGCGCGCGGGAGCCCGGGAAAGAAGGCTAGCTAATCACACTGTACTGACTGATGCTCACGCACAAGACCTTGTGAATAAACTGAATAGTGCGCTTGTCTTGTTCTGTTGTTCTCTGTGTAAACAGAACACATGATGTTACAAGAGTGTGACTTTCGCTAAACGGACAATGATGATGTCGTTCTTCAAGTACTGAGTGTTCTTCTTTTGAAGATCAGAGCGAGGAAAAAACTGGTTATAACCCCATCCTTGCGACCGTTTAGCATCCACAACTCTATTACCAGAATCTTCTACTGTTGCATCGTTGTAAATGATGCTGTTCTCGATGTGGCTGTGGTCTCCATCCTGGTTGACAATCTGGATAGCTATCACTCCTCTGAAAGCCATTTCAGGTGATCGTCAAACTGCCCTTTTGTAGGTAACACAAAGAGTGACATGTGGTTTCCTCTTTCCTTTCCCGAGACCTCTTGGAACTACTCTAATGCACATTCTATATCCGCTGGAGTGTGTATAAAAACCAGGCAATATACGTCACCATCTTTGTCTTCGATTCGGAAATCGCAAGGGAGGGCCCAGTTTGTGAAATTTCAACTTCTGGACTTCATCCTTGAGATTTTGGATTTCGCTCTCAGTGTGCTTGCAAACTCTGGTTGACAGCTGACACTTTGATCTCTATCTTTCATTTTATGTCCCAGTGTTTTGGTTCTCTTTATTAGCTTATCCGCAGTCGAGTTCCCCTCTTTCCACAGTTGTCGCAGTTCCTGATTCTCTTTCAGGAGGCTCTGTGTAACGGTAGCCAGCAGTGTCAGATGTGTGACAGCTGTCTGTCATGTGCTCAGGCATGTCTTTGCGAGGAAGTCTCACCTCACAACCAGCGTAGTGAAGTGGGCAGTCGATTTCTGTAAGGGGACACTCGTCTTTTACATGCTTGTAAAGAGCATGCCGTTTGAAGTGATCCTTTCTACCATTTATTGGGACACGTGACTGGAAATCGTCACACTCGTAGTAATGGCACGTTGTTACGTATTTGTAAGTTGCTTCAAATTTCTGGCAATACTTACAGGAGTAAGGTCGCTTCGTGCAGTGCTGGTTCTGGTGGGAAGCGATGTGGCGACGCTGGAACCACTCCCCACACCCATGCTCACACTCTATTGGCACAAACTGACACCCAGTCAGCTGGTTCTCTGAAGGCAGATTGCTATTCAGGTGCTGTTCGTATTCTCCAAGTTTCCCCCTCCATTCACAGCCGTCGTTCTTTCCGAAACACTGAACATCAAATTCTTTCAAGGCTCTCTCTAGTCCGTAGTCTCGAATAAACGTGAAGTTCGTTTTGTTGCACAGCGGACACGGCTTTTTATCCCTCTCTATCCGCTCTACGCACTCGTGGCAGATCTTCTGTCCGCAGGGGCAGCTGATAACGCACGGCTGTTTCAATATTTGTAGGCAAATTGGGCACTCGGTCTGTAGCGCGGCCGGTGGCGGTTCAAGGAACTCACAGTCGTACCCGCCGCTGTCCTCCCTGGAACCAAGACAAGGTATTGGGGCGACACCAGTCGGAGGAGTAGCTCCAGTTGCTCCGAACTCGGGGCCCGCCATGGCTGCTGCCTGACGTCTCTCTGTTGTAGCTCTCCGCGCAGCTAGCTAGCTAGATAGCGCTGCATATGCATCGGCTCGTCCTTGCTTTTGCGCATGCGTAATGTGACGACACGTCTAAAAACCTTGGTGCATAATGCACAAGCGTTTACTTGTGCGCGAGACGAACACTGCACACGGAGAAAATGAAGAAAGTTATCACGAAGCTTTCATACACTGTATATAGAGTCATTGAATGTGTATACATAAAACATAAACTGGATGAAGATACTGGGAGACAGATAAACCGAATGAATGATACTGGAAATGAGATAAATGAAGAGAGTTTATTGATTCGTTATAATATGGAACATAATGACACCACCGTCGAATAGTGTTGCATTGACTATACTGGAAACCACAAGAGAGATTTACAGAAGAGTTACTTTTGTTACGCGAAGTACTATAAAGCCACCCTTCCAATACTCTGTGTTTCGTTGAGTGTTGTAGAAAAGAGAAGAGCGAGGCATAAATTCGACAAGACCCCACCCCCCCGATCTGTGCGTGCCCAAAACTCGACCACCTACGTTTAAAAGCGGCGCCTTATCGTCGTAGAGGATGGTCTTCTCGATGTGGCTGTGGTCTCCAGTCTGGTTGACAATCTGGACCGTTATCACTCCTTCGAACGGCCATTTCAGGTGGTCATCGTAATCGCCTTCCATCATGTATGTGTAGATCGACACGTGCGTTCCACTCAGGGAAACCTCGGCAGACAATTTGTAGCCACAGGAATGGGTGTAAAAGGGCGGTAGAAACACGTTTCCCTGATTATCTTGGACCCGAAACTCAATTGGAAAGCCAAACTTGCTAGCCCTCAACTGTTTCACTTCTGCCTTTATCAGGCTCAGCGTTATGTCGGTCTCTAGTTTCAGCTCGAGATTCTCCTTTTTGAGGTCTTCTGTTGTCCTTTTCAATTCGTCGGTCTCTAGGAGGAGACAGTGTGTGATTGAGGCTCTGTGCTTGTTTTTGTTGTTCTTTTTTAGCGCTTTCTTGAGGTCCTCAGTGGTCTGACGTAGCTCCTGATTCTCTTTCAGGAGGCTCTGTGTAACGGTAGCCAGCAGTGTCAGATGTGTGACAGTGTCTGCCATGTGCTCAGGCATGTCTTTGCGAGGCAGTCTCACCTCACAACCGGCGTAGTGGATTGGGCAGTCGATTTTTGCGAGGGGACATTTGTCTTTTACATGTCCCTCCAGTTCTCCGTGTTCAAACGGTTCATCCCGACAAACATTGGGACAGGACACTGGATATTTCTTACATTCGAGATAGTGGGTTTGCGTGACGTCTTCAAAGGTCGAATCGTGCTCTTTGCAGTACCCACAGGAGTAAGGCCGTTTCTTGCACTCCTGGTTCTGGTGGGAAGCGATGTTGCGACGCTGGAACTTCTCCCCACACCCATTCCCACACTCTATCTCCACAAACTGACACCCCGTCAGCTGGTTCTCTGGAGATGGATTGCTATTCAGGTGCTGTTCGTAGTCCCCAAGTTTCCCCAACCACTCACAGCCGTCCTTCTTACTCGCACATCGAACATCAACAAATTCCTTCAGAGATCTCTCCAGTCCGTAGTCCCGCATGAAGCTGAACTCCGTCCTGTTACACAGCGGACACGGCTCGCCATCCTTCTTGATTTGCTCTACGCACTCGCGACAGATCTTCTGTCCACAGGGACAACTTATGAGGCAAGGTTCCTTCAGGATGCACAGGCAGATGGGGCAGTCGGTCTGAAAGGCGGCTGGTGGCCTCCTCACAAGCTTGCAGTCGTACCCGCCAACCCCGCGCCACTTCCCAGCGGAACGTTCGGGGCGGGCGGCGGGCGCGGGAACTTTTCCAGGACGGGGTATCGAATAAGGAGAAGCCTCGATGGAGCCCCGGGTAATTTGTGAGCGGATAGACGACCGTGTCACGCGCGTGTGCATGTGGTGGAGCACTAAAGAGAGACAACAGACAACGAACCACGGTCTCTTGAGAGCAGCAACGGGCCAAAGAAGGGCGACGAAGTATCTCTTAGACACCACGTGCTGACACTGGCCGGCGCGCGCGCATGCGCAACGCTCAGTTCGCGCGCATGCTCGTCGGCTGAACTTACGTCTTCTCGGTAGGTGAATGCCAGGATTCCTCCGATGGACTGCAGTATGAACACCACAATCACCAGCACGATGTACTAGAGGGCAGACAATTATATAGATTCCTGAATGCTATTAGTTACATAGTAACAGTTTTTCTAGGCGCTAATGAGAAGAAAGTGGTGAGGTGTCCTTGTTGCAGGGGTAAAATGCATGCAAAGTATATATGTTCTTGGGGGAAAAACGTGTCTTATTAGAGAGGTGTCGTAATTTCAAGGGGTGTCCTTAGAGAGGGCCCCGTGGTGAAATATTCGTAGTTTCACAAGGTTCATACATACAGAATAAACTATGTTTGAACCAAAACTCACTACGAAGAGTAGGACTCTATTGGCCTTGTAGTCACAGATGGCTCCAAATATTCCAATAACAGATAGTACGATTATGGCACAGCCTGCGGCTATGGTGAGATACGCTCCATACACGAGCTGATCTCCGTCCACAATCGCTTCAAAGTTTTGGTCCAGGATTTCAAACCACGCTCCGAGTCCGATTAGCACACAACCGACAAACTGAGGTTGAGGGGAAGAGAGAGGGAAAGAGAGAGGGATAGAATAATTCGCCGAAGAGATGTGATAATTAAAGGGAACGTGTCAGTATGATACGGGCTAAATTTAGAAATGTTACTAAAGATAGAACTAAACAATGGGGCCCAGTGAAAGAATGCAATTAAATTTAGTAACAGTTTCTAAATTTAGCCCCTATAATTATATCGCCACATTGCCTTTAACACTTAACCAGCCACTGACACACAAAAGTAGTGCCCAGAGCCTCCATAAGAATTTATATGTGGGTTATAATACTAGGCGCCAATACGTCATACATCAATTTCTGCTTATTTAAGCAGATACCCATGGTGTCCAAAGGGTTCTGTTGAAGTGTGTGTGTCGATATCTTCATGGCTAAAACGCTAGCGAATTTCTTGACCTGTCAAAATTGAGTTTAAGAGTGTCACACCAGGCACCCAGCTGGATCTGTTGCTTCAAAGACTACAACGCATACCACAACGCTAACAATTGCATACCAAAACACTTCTTGAAAGGGAGGGCGGGTAAAAATATCACACCGTAGGACACATATGTATATGCACCACCCTTGTTTGAGATCACGAGCTGGACCAGGGGACTGAAAAAAGCTATCAACACCAGTGCTGATACTCTTGGTCAAGTTTCTAACTGGCGTATTCTTACCCTTTTCTTCCTGCTAGCCAGTAAGTATTATAATTATGCCATCACTATTCACACCGGGGACTGAAAAAAGCTATCCATACTACGAATGATACTCTTGGTCAAGTTTCTAACTGGCGTATCCTTCCCCTTTCTTCCTGCTAGCCAGCAAGTATTATAATTATGCCATCACTATTCACACCGGGGACTGAAAAAAGCTATCCATACTACGAATGATACTCTTGGTCAAGTTTCTAACTGGCGTATTCTTCCCCTTTCTTCCTGCTAGCCAGTAAGTATTATATGGCATCACTATTCACACCGTCCATCTGATAGGTTTGAATATCAATTTCGCCTTATTGATTACTAAAGTACAATATTATCATAAAATATAAAAGTGAATATTATTCCCTCTATAGGTTTGGCTTTATGCTATACACCACATATGCACAGAAACAAGTGTGATAATAATATAGGGTATTATACCATTCTACCAAATAGTAAAATCTTCCTTAAAATTATTATGATTCCAGCTTCTCTCCACATTACACTACGACTGAATAGCTCATAATATTATGCCGTGCAGCAGTGAAATCAGGTTCTAATCGGGTTTTATCACCTGGCGTTAACGAGGTTTAGAATTCCTCTCGCAACTATATAGAATTTCTTGTGGCTAATGATCCCATTGCTTCGTTGGGTGTGTTCAGATGTATGTTCAGTATCATTATAGTGATGTAAGTGTTTTGTAAGGTTAGGCATCCTTGAAGTGAGTACAACATTAGCGAATGGCTTCTTGGCTGTGAAAGGGACCTTGTCAGTACAAGTTAACGATCGAACCAAACAATAGAGCCAAGTGAAAATACAATTATTTAGTAACAGAGTTTAAATTTATATAGCCACATTGAAAAGCTTTGATATTTATTCCTTATCCCTGCATAAGCTATGTAATGATAGACTAAAGACCCAAAGTTAATCGATCAAGAATAATACACGGAGGCAACAGGATGGCCTAGACTGCACAGTGTGTCGTGGGTTCGAATCCCACCCAGGGCAGCTCTTCTTTCTTCCTTGGGAAAAAGAGCTGTCCTGGGTGTAGTTGACTTGTTTGTTGTGCCTTCACCTTTCTACCTCGTAGTTGACACAGTGTACTGTACTTTAACAAGCATGACAATTATGCATGAATCAGCAAGCTAACGGAACACCTAGGAACACACTTTGTGAGAAATGTATGCAGCGATATACGATATACAACCAACCAGTATACCATACTCAGAGCTTCTTATGAAACAGGCCATACACGCGGTAACTTTGTCGCTTCCACAAAAGTTGCAGCAACTTCCAAAGTATTGGTACGATGGGCCCGGGAAACTAGTCACCAGAAATAGATGGCTTTTCTATTTCTGGCGACTGGTTGCCTGGCCCCACCATACAAATACTTTGGAAATTGCTGCATAGCAACAAAGTTACCGTGTGTGTGACCTGCTTAACTGAACATATGGCCACTTGTACATACGTATGTTGTTCCGCCATTTCTCATAGTTTGTGTAACTCTGTCCATACTATGTCCACTTCATGCAGAAGGCTGTAAATACATCCCACGCTTTCGGGAGCGCTCAGGTGGAGAAGTGTGCACATTTTTCCGATAAAGCAGTAAAGTCTAAGGCTCCGTACAATGTATAGTGTTTCTGTGTAGTGGCAAGTGTTTATTATTACACTTACGATGAATAGAATCTGCACGATAATGAAGAATATTTGGAGGCAACGGTTGTAGGCGCAGCTTGTCTTCATGTTGTTTTCCTGGAAAAGAGGGGGGTTGGGGGTGAGCAAGGGAAGAGGGGAGGGAGGGAAGGAATGGAGAGACAAGGGAGGGAGGGAGGGAGGGGGAGAGAATGGAGAGACAGAGAAAAGGAAGGGAGGGGGAGAGGGAGAAATGAGTAAGTCACAAGGGCCCAAAGGGACGAAACCTTCTATGAATGGGTGTTTATTCGTAACGTCAACATAGACTACTTAGCTACCTGGTAGCCAAGTGGGACGCCCTCACGTTACAACCGACCGCTAATCAAATTTGCCCACTCCACCGCCAGCACAGCTGACAAGTATATACCTTACGGCAAAACTAGCTCAAGAACAATCTGTATCATGTAAAAGAAGTAACAAGCAACCCTGGGCCGCGGTTGACACGTAGCTACGCGTACCACAGCTTGCTGCGATACTTACTCAAACTTACGTGGAAAAGGAAGCGAAGTAGCAGCACCAGAGAAGCTTTAGCTTGGCTTGACAACCGTTTATTATAGCCTCGTTTGTGTAACAATCAAAAACATCAGCTTTTATAATGTTGTCGTCGGGCAGCTGCTGGAACGACACAATCATCAGTGGATTCCAATGCAGAAGAGTGGGCGTGGTTTAGTTGCAATATTGGCGGCGCGCGCAACCGGCCGGGCAATTAACGAGGAACAGTCAAAGGTCACCAGAGGGGAGAGAAACAGGCTCTGCTGTAGCTATGATAATTCCGATTCGCTGCTTCACGTGCGGGAAGGTGATAGGCAACAAGTGGGAATCCTACCTGGGCTACCTTCAGGCCGAGTACACGGAGGGGTAAGCGCACTTTTTGTCATTGCAACACCCATGTTGTGATGCACAAAACACTACTTCCTAACTTTGTGCACAGTATGTCAGTGCGTGATACTTTTTTGTTAAATATGGCTGAAGTATTGAAACTTTTGCATGGCACATTCAGCCTTTATAAAGTAGGTTTGATCGAAAAGTGTCGACCGTCTAGGTATGCACTTCCTCTCAAATTCTCCATGTTGTGGTATATACTAGAAGATATTAGTGCCATGTCCTGGTTAACTTGTGCGACATTTCTGGTGTTTTTGGCCCTGCATATGATAACTTGTTTTCCCCCCGCAGCGATGCACTGGATGCCCTGGGCCTGAAACGCTACTGCTGTAGAAGAATGCTACTGAGTCACGTGGACCTTATCGAGAAGCTGTTGAACTATGCTCCTCTGGAGAAATGAGATCTTTTCGTCATTACACACACATTCTCGTGCTAGTTGTCGCTTTCTTTGATGAAATTTCATATTCTATTCTGTTGTCTTATTTCAGAGTGATGTCATTTCATCTGTTGTGTATAATATTATAGGCATTCAATTCCTAGCCAATATCGTGGATAAGAGCATACATCAAACTGTATTCCCATGCCTTCAGATTCTATTCTGTTGTCTTATTATTTCAGAGTGATGTCATTTCATCTGTTGTGTAGGCATTCGCTAATAATTCCTAGCCAATATCATGGATAAGAGCATACATCAAACTGTGTATAACCCCAGGCCTTCCCCTGTAAGCCTTGTTATCAGCACGATCAGGGGACAAGGCTAAATACAACCTCTCGTAATTAATTGCTGTATAAGATCCAATGTAATCACTCAATGACAATGTACACATTATTGTGCAATATTGGCTTCGTTATGCTTTATTGTCGACAGATTGGGAAATCAATGTCTTCAAACGTAAAATTGTACAAAGTGACAGATTGAGATATTATTTATGACAAGTCCCATGGATACATAATTATACACACACAAATGAGACTAATAGTTTCCGTGTTTGACAAGAGACGAAAAAGGCAGCTGCTCCCTCTTCAGCCACTTGTTTCTCTGACGACGCATAAACATAGGGACGTACTCCTTCCGTCTCTCCATTGAGTGTCTGTGCTCTTGCTCCAGAGACAGATATGGCCGTGAGAGAACTTCCTCCACCTGCAAATCAAAATAGAAAAAAGTGAAGGCTGTGAATAAGGGACGCTTGTCCGTTATTCGGAGGTGTCTCTTATTTAGAGGTGTATGAGGAAACCAAGTGGGACCCAAAGAGGTATATACCCTTATTAGATGGACCAATAATAACTAGGGTCGTCCCTCTTCTCGCGAGAGCAACTTGTAAAGTGACCTTTGACCTGTACCACGTGGGCGTGATCTCACCTCTCGAACGAGTTTCTCTCTGTCTCTGGTGTTCTTTCGTCTGGTGGCCGTCATCTTCCACGTTCTTCTGTGCTTGCCGATCCACTGCTTTCCCGGCGTTGAACGCGCACCGAACAGTAGAGCGCTCAGAAACATCTTCCGACCTCCGCCCCGGCGTTAGAATCCGGATAAATTACGGTAAATTTGTACGTACTATCCGGGATAGTGCTTAGAATCCGGAGAACCTTGGGTTGTTAGTATCCGGAGTGTAAGCATTCGCGATAGGTCCGCGCGGCTTCCAAGGCGACGTCGCGCGTCGGCGCAGGGAAACCGGCGACCTGGTACCGCCAGCCGCTCTGCAGGGCCGCGCATACTTTTCGTCATTGTTCGTCTCTCCCTTCCCCTATCTATAGCTAACCCTACGCGGCGCTAGAATGATAATGGCCGCGCGTGCAGACCTCTGAAAAAATACGCCGGAAACAAGTCGCGAGAGAGTCTATTGCGAAGAAGTTCCTGCGTGGAGAACGTTGACGTTCGTTCGTTGGTCGGCCAGGGAGGAGAGGAACGCCGTTGTGATTTGGCGGGAGAATGGCGCGCCAAGGAGCGTTCGATTGTTGCGGGGCAAGTACGGGATGCAGCGCTAGGTTGATGGTGGCCAAGTGGTTTCTCATCGTCTTCAACGTCGCCTTCTGGGTAAGTCGTCCCTCGTCCGTCCGTGTGTCTGTATTATCGTCTGACATCTAGTGTATGAGAATTCAAACGAACTGTCTGTCCCCTAGCAAAAAATGTGTAAGACTTTGTACCAATAATCACAAAGTTTGATGTGAAGTATATTTTGTGACATGTAGCTAAAGTTTTGGTTTTATCTCACTACAACAGCTAGCTACATTTACTTTGCTAGGGGAGAAAGTTTGAAATTATACCGAACTCTGCTTGTGAGCGACAGAAATTGAGGCAGAAATCATAATCCTACAATCATTATCTCAGAGTGTCTTTAGGCTCTGAAGTATCTCTCTCTCATTAACCTCCACAGACGATGGGGGTCATCTCGTTAGCCCTGGGTCTGTGGATCTACCTCACCATGAACGAGTACGCCACATTCTCCGAGGGAAAAGACCTGCTCGGGAGTGCATTTCTCGTGGCTGTCGGCTTCGGGATAATCATTGTCGGATTTCTCGGGATTGTGGCTGCTCTGTGGGAGAGCGTCATCATGACTTCTGTGGTGGGTATAACTATAATTATTACACTGCTTATGCAGCACTTTCAGTTCTCATGTATCATTATTGGATGACATAAGAGCTAGATGAGGTTATGAGGTTTGTTTGAGCTACTGAGATTGGCTAATATATTAGTGTTAGTGTTGTAAATGTAAGGTTGCAGTTCAATTCCCAGCGGTTGAGACTCTTCCTTTTCCACACTCCACCCTTCCCTTCCGCGGTGCAGTGTCCTGAACTGAGGAGTTTTTATCACTCTTTCTATAGGCCACCCGCTTGCAATGGTCTGCTTACAATGCCACGTGATCAATCCTCCTACTTTTGGATCCTCGTTGATCAATGGATGACAGCTAACACATAGCTGCTATAGTCTGCAATCACTCTCATAATGATCTCTGCCTCAACATCCTGTAGCTGAACAGTACACATCACCGCTGGTAGCACCTAACAGCATGCCACTGCAATAGAGTTAACACTGCTTCAACCTCATCCTCCATACCGTGTGGTGCCACTAACCTCCTGGCTCTTACAACATTCTTCGAATTCTCACCTCAAAACAGAGAAACGTCTTGCGTGGTTTCGTTTGTGCACGTGAACTATATATATACGGTACACAGGCTATCTTTCCTCTTGTGTAACATACATGTGTTTACGAGTTACATTCCAGGTGCTGGAAGGGGTAACTAATGTGTGTGTGTTGTTGAACACCAAACTGGCTGTACATGTCCTGCTTTCACGGCTACTGCTTTGTTCCTTGAACTTGAATGCATTATAGCTAGCTACATGGATTTCTCATGCGTTTTTGCCGATAACATGATTGCATGCATGGATTGATGAACTGCCTCTATTCCTTACGACAAAGCAAAGCTCCACTATTATATCTCTGCTCTCTCTCTCTCTCTCTCTCTCTCTCTCTCTCTCTGTTTTTCATCCCAGTTCTGTCACGCTGGTAGTGACGGCCAGTATGGTGTTCATGTCGGCCGGCATCTGGGCCGTCAGTCACGGAGCTGGGACGAGAGAGGACATCAGACAAGAACTGAACATCACTGCTGCACAATACGAGAAGAACAGCGTGTACCGCGACATCTGGGACGACATGCAGAAAAGAGTGAGCCCCTTCCTAATTAGCTATGTCATTATCAATAGCCCTATCTCTATCCTTGCATGTATATACTTCATTCTCCTATATATTTATTTCCTTCCATCTCCTTCCTTAATCCTCTCTCCCATCATCAGTTCCAGTGTTGTGGAGTGGAGGGGGCTAGTGACTGGCGATATCATCTCAGAGCATCTCAACACACATATCCCCACTCCTGCTGTACGGAGGACATCTCTGTCGACCAAGACTGTCCTCTGCAGCAGTTCAACACCGAGGTAGCTATAATATAGTATAGTGTACTGTGCATATATGAATGTATGTACATAATATATAAATTCTTTGTTGAAGGGTTGTCTGGAGCATTTGTTGGACTATGAGATGAGACAGTATGACATCATGTCTCCAGTCGGACTGACCTTTGGCACGTTTCAGGTACAATAATTATTATACCTCCCTAATAGTTAGTTCATTAACACTTAACTAGCCAGGGACACATAAATGTGTCCATTGTCTCCATAAGCAGTAAGACTTTATATGGAGGTTTTAATACCAGGCAGTACATGGTTTCTGCTTGTTTATATACTAGTGGTGTGGAAAGGGATAGCTATTCACTGCTAGCAATAGCTTGTCGTAGGGTTTCACATAGTTGGTTCATTTCCCCCTCTTTCTCTCAGCTGCTCTGCGGGCTCCCGCTCTGTTTAGTATTCATCGGAATTGTGAACACTTCCAAAGATGAGTACATAATGACTCGCTACTGATTGACTAAAGCCCCTATAATCAACATGTGTATTATTATTCTCATACCATTATAGACAGATAATATAGGTAGCTGATGCTGTGCATATGTTGTGATTTTTAACTCTTCTGTATTATATTATAACTTTTCATCGTTGAGTTTTCTCTAATTAGTGCATGCTAATTGTTAGGTTTATACAATCATGGCCGTCATTGTAGCTATGGTATATTACGTCCTGAAATTTTAGGTCTGGATTCGAGGCACCACTCTGACACAACATGGTGCAGTTGCTGTCAATGTAACCCAAGCCGAATAGCATATGCTCCCTGATTTACTCGCGCATGCCCGCCTCATTGCATGAAAACCACAAGTGTTAGTGCAGAAAAATCCAATAAAACCAGTGCGCGGCAGTGCGAGCTAACTTACCTGGCACAGGGGATACCGTGATCAAGCAGGCGGTTCCTCCAGGTGGAGACTCGGCATTGCACTTGGCCTTGTTGAAGCCTGCGATCGCCCAAACTGGGTGACTCGGGTGCGTAATTTTTGGTAGGGGGGGACTGCGTTCGCGCATCCCCCGCACTGTGAACTAAGAAAATAAATGACATCATGTAGAAATACCATGTGATGCCAATGTCGTTAGTTGTTTCTCCGGCCGGCCGGCCAGTCAGTGCGCATGAGCGACCAGGCGGCGCGTGACTGCATTTCCTTTTCACTACTACGACCTAGTGGGGCCGGGTGCGTCCTTATGTCTGACGAAGCAATAGAGTACTTGGCACAGTTCGTGAAGGAATACCTATTGTTAGCCGTAGCTACCATAATTATTTCAATACACGGTTGTGGATAGTGCGCGGTTTGTCACAACAAAAGCTCTTTTGGCACAGCGCCACATCACACCTCGCGTCACAATAGTACAGCTCTGAACGCTCTCACTATATAATATATAAGTGGCAGCGGCATATTGTGCCTCAGAGGAAGTGATAATACTCCGCAAGTGCAGTCATGCCTTTGCGTAATTTTCCCACTTTCTTGGCTATCGTAGCTGGCGTCGCTGGGTTTTTGTCTGCCGAAGGTCGTTCAGATGCTGTATACGACCTGAAAAAGAACCCCGAACAGTAAGTTTGTTTTATCTGACCGTCTGATTAGCTATATAGCAATTTTGCATCGAGTGTCTATTTTGAAATCCCGTTCTTTTATTGAAAAGCAGGCCGAAAGGGCCGAAAGGGCCGAAAGCGCCGTGTGTACGACACGCGTCGGGTGGAAAATTGCAATCTAGCTATTTCTTTGCAGATTGGAGGCACTTGGTGGGACGTACGAGAGTTCAGTGATATCCGAAGCATTGAAATGCCTCGTCGTCAACAGCGTCTGCAATTCGGACACGGGTAAACTTGCGGATATCTTCTCTCAGGCCGCTAGAGGTGCCGCGACCTCAGAAGCCGACGTCTGTCAAGAGGAGTTGGAGGATGTTGAGGACATGATCAAGAGGATTGTGGCTGTTTCCTCTTTAACCTCATTGGAGAAGAGAGAAATAAGGGAGCGCCGCAGAGGAAGGCATAGGTAAACAAGTGCGAAAATCAGGAAATTACGCGGAGAGCCGCCATGGCGCAGACTTCGACGAGCATCAAACTTACTGCATGTAGCTAAAACAAATTAGGCGCAGCAGAAAAACAGCGAGTAGTGCACTACTTCGCGCTGGGAAGTCGAGGGTGAGAGGCCAGGGAAGACGTAGACAAAGAGCGAGCAATTACCACTGCGCATGCGCAGGAATCGGGGTCGCGCTTGTCCAATGTAATTCCCCAGCTATGTCAAAGCTGGAAAAAAAAACTATCATTCTGTAAGTTGTTGCGTGTGTATTACAAAATGTTTATGTACACTAGGCGCCCAGGGAGAAGGCGACGGCCAGGGAGGCCTCATAGTCACGGCTCACGATATTCGGACTCAACCTCACGAGAAGAAGAGTAAGTTCACTTCTTTACTCTACAGAAGAGAATGGGAAAAGACTATACAGTGTGTGTATGTAAATATGCCCTCGACACACTTATGTTGTTATACTGTATTAATCCATGATCGTCATAATCCAATTTCCTCGTCAATTTCCTCGTCAATTTCCTCGTATACCTACTACAGAACACAAACATAGAAACCTCTGAAAGAAGACTTTCCAAATAAGGGACACAAAATACACTTGATACTAATACAGTACGTGTAGTAATTAGCTGCTCTATAAGGGGGATACCTCTGGAAACAAATGGGCACTTTTGACGCCCGAAATGGCCAAAGGTGTCCTTATTAGAAAGATATCCTCATTTCAGGGGTTTGGCCCGAAATGCATGCAATGGTGTCCCTATAATCCAGCACATGCCAAGCCATTGGATGCCAAGTTCATGTCTAAGAAAGCAAATATATGGAAGGTGGTAGAAAAGTAAGAGGATGGAGGGAGGGAAAAGAATTATATAGCTACATATAGCTGCACAGTTTGCATTAGGATTGCACCTGCTTGTTCAGTGGCACAGAGCGTAGAATTAATAACTTAAATATCAGTTGATTTTTCTCCTTGTGTGTGCCGCATTTATAATACCTGCGTGTCATTACTTGGCCTTCACCTAATAATTATTATAGACGTCAGATTACTGAAGCTGTGGTCGTGTTGGAGGGCTCTGACACTGTGGAGGGGACCATTACATTCACAGTAAGATAATAATAATAATAATAGTGGAACCTCTGAATAATGAATAGGCATTTAATGTGTAATACCCTGCTATATATACAATGATTTTGTAGCGGCTAACACGAGTATATAAATTGTTATCCCAGGTAGAGTAAAGTGTACACCTTTACACCCTTAGAGTGCTCAAACCTTATTCTTAGTGAAGAACCAATCCCACACAATTAATAAGACACAATATTATTTTTTGGTTGGCACACTTTAGCAGCAGTGTATATACAGTGGGGGTCATTCATGGTGTGTTGATTCCATGCAGGCACAAGAGAATGGTAAGACGAGGGTTAGAGGTACCGTGAGTGGTCTGGCACAGGGCAACCACGGATTTCACGTACACCAGTTTGGAGACTATTCTCCGAGCGAAGGCTGTGCAAATGCCGGAGGTCACTTTAACCCTGCCGGGAGGCAGCACGGGGGGCCAAACGACGATGAGCGTCATGCCGGTGATCTCGGAAACATCGTCGCAGATGCGTCTGGAGTGGCCGTCATCGATGTTGAGGACTGTCAGATTCCGCTGAGTGGAGAAAACAGTATCATTGGACGCAGCGTCGTGGTAGGTGCCTGTCAAAGAAGTGTCAAACATTTTGTTTTCAGTCAAACCCCTCCCTCTCTCTCTCTCTCTCTCCCTCCATTCTGCTTATGCGCGCGAGCACTTATAGTGAGGCTGAAATTAGGTCTGAGGGCAAAAAAAAACCTGAAATGAGGACACCTCTCTAATAAGGACACCTTTTCTTTCCCAAGAACAGTTCTTGCATGCAATTTAACCCCTGAAATGAGGAAACCTCACTAATAAGGACACCTTTTCCTTCCCCAAGAACATGCAACTTAACCCCTGAAAAAACCACTAATAATACTATGGACAGAGTCTTCTGTCGACGTGTAGCAGTTCCATTGTATTTGCTTGCGTCTCCTAGTTTGACCTGTTCTGGGAAATAACTCATAATGCACATGTAACTCTACATCCTCATGTAGCTAATGCACTGGAATCACTTCATCACTTTCATCAATGGAATCGTAATTGATCTAATTAATTTCTTGGCACTCTTCGAGTGCCACGATGCCAACAAATGCATTTGTCCATCACGAAACAAGTTCACCAGAAGACCTGCAGTGACACCTCAGAATAAAGGACACTTGGCAGCGTCCTTTATTCAGTGTCATGGACTCATGGAGTACAATCAAACCTATATACGAATGAAAAGCACTGAAGTGCAAACCCTCGGCGAACTGCGCATGCGCGGTATATTAGTATGCGCGGTCTCCCGCTAGTATATAGCTCGCAGAGAGTAGCTAGTAGTAGATTAGCATGCGAGAGTCGATAGACGCCCTTCGTTGTGACTTCTTGTGCCTTCAAAATACACAGAGCAAGAAGACCGGTCCTGTGCTAAATATAAGCGCATGCGCATTTTCCGCAGCGATAAAAATGGCCGACTACGCATTAGCCGTACAACGGTGGAAGCGCTCTAGCTTTGCAACGGAGCGTTTTCAGAGAAAACCGTTAGAAATTCTGACCTTCATTGCCCGTTCGGTAGGTGGTATCCTTTGTGAGACGAAAGAACACTCGAGAAGTGAGATGAAGAGTAACAGACACACAGACAAACTACTGTAATCCTCGCTGCGCATGCGCGCCGAGGTTATAGCATCTTAGAACTGCCCTTTAACTCACTAGTAGTATCCGTATAGGGCGAGCCAAACGTGTCAGAGGTTTCGTAATTCTTCCTATGTCTCTTCTTAGCTATTCAAACGCTCTCGTTTCTTTGTATGATGATGACATCATTACGATGTAATGTTTTGGCTCCATTCCAGGTTCATGCTGATGAGGATGATCTGGGACGAGGGGGTTTTCCGGACAGTTTGACCACGGGTCACGCGGGGGCCCGCCTGGCTTGTGGAGTGATTGGCATTGCCAATACTTCCTAGTAGGAGTGCCCAGACCAGTTTTGCCGGTTGAGGAAACCCGTTTAACTTTATTACGTCGTAGGACTGACTGTCATTATCAAGTTGAATAAACTGTACTCTTCTGTATGATTGTTAACTCTTCATGCTATATATAATGTATGATATAAGCTAGACTTTTGCAGTAGTATATAAGATGGTATACCAATGCACTACGTTTGTAGTGCATAGTTAATGATCAAACAACCAGTATAATAGTATAATATACTGCGTATAAGCACATATAATACCTGTGGGATGACATTATCTATGCAAAATAATGTGTAATGACGATGTAGACCCGAACTAACTGGGACCGCTTGACGCCTCGCATGCTGCCACAGGGCAACGTTGCGCATGCGCAAATAAGAACGGATTTACCCCGCCGCTCGCTGGCCTCAATGCGCGTCAAGTTTACACCTTCTGGTGGTTGCACTAATCTATGATGTGATCACTGGGAAAGGGCCCTTTGTACTAAGGACAAAAGTTTGCAGTAGCGCTGAATATACGTATCTGTCTTTAGGATCGTCTTAGCACAGAGCGCGCCGTACAAAAGCTGAGGTTTTAGCAAGGTCTCGACATTAGTCGTAAGCAAGGGAACTACTGTCCGTATGTACCTTGGCTACATTCCTCTATACCATGTAAGACACTGCTAGGTCTCCACATTGAGGGAACTAATGTCCTTATGTACCTTGGCTACATTACTCCAATAGCTAGGTAGTTACACACCACAACCTGTGTAGGAGAATAGGCCTGTTAGGACAATGACCACACCTTGTATTATAAGTTAGAGCAAAATATCTCAATACATTTGTGGAGGCATCACATGTTAGTGGCATGCAATCAACTGTAATAACGGATGAAGAATTCGGGGAGTATAATAGTCAATGTCTTTTGATGCAGATTATCTTTGTAGCTACAACAGAATAGCATGGGCTGTGGTTGTGAACTAATTAGATCAAACCATGCATTACTCACTCCATTGAGAGCATTGTTCTCCCATGCATTGTCCATTGCATTGAAGCTGCATTGACATGCATTATCCGCTTCACTGCATAATACAAAACCATGCATTATCCGCTGCACTGCGTATAGCACCACACCGTTATCTGATGCACTGTATATTAAACCATACATCATCTGCTGCACTGAGATAGCTATCGTGCACAGAAGCAAGTCGGCCTGCTAGATGGCATTACACTGTCTGTAAGGATGATGTCAGTTTAGTATCACAACCACGGTTTGGACTCAGTGCAGCGGATAATGCTCTGCAATGCGCAGTGGAAATGCCGTGGGTTTCAAGGCGGCGCCGCGAATGAAAACCACAAGCGTTAGTGCCCAATAAAAACCAGTGCGCGGCAGTGCGAGCTCACTTACCTGGCACAGGGGATACCGTGATCAAGTAGGCGGTTCCTCCAGGTGGAGACTCGGCATTGCACTTGGCCTTGTTGAAGCCTGCGATCGCCCAAACTGGGTGACTCGGGTGCGTAATTTTTGGTAGGGGGGGGACTGCGTTCGCGCATCCCCCGCATTTGTCCCAATAACAAAATTAACAGTGAAGTTAGTGAACGTAGTGCTTGCATCTGGGCATCCCCCATTTTACAGGGTGTGTACACTATTGCATGTCTCAAGAACTTGGTAACGATGTAGAAAGGCAAGGCAAGCAAGCCAACTACACCCAGGACAGATCTTTCTTTTCAAGAAGAACAGTTACATGTCAGAGTTACAGAGCCACATTTTCGTAAGGCACAGATCACCTCCTCGCACTGGTACGCTTAGTGGGCGTGGGGCGTGGGGCGTTCCGCGTGCAGAATAGCAGAATTTCGTGGTACGATACATGGCGAGGGAGCGCCGGGAAGCGCCGTTACGTCTATACCTAACAAAGCTATATACCACAAGTGAGAGAGTGGCTATTATATAGCTAACTTCCCTAGGGTATGGAACTATGGATCTATTGACCAGTGGATGCACAATACATTGAACAAGTCAATCAACATAAATTGCTGGCAGGGCTTTTTTGTGACAATGCACTTCTTCAATACCCCAACCTCCTATGGGACACAGTGCCATTATGCCCTAATTTAGTTACCACAACCAGTTAGAATAAGGGCTTAACCTTCAAGTGGATGTGCATGCAAGACTATATACCACCATTATACAGTCTTCATCGGACCACCATACTCAACAGTGGCATGCATCGTTGGCACAATTACCGTGGGATCCCCCATTCCCTTACTTCACCCCCACAACGTCTCAATGCAGATCTTCCTAGAATTCCTCCGTCGTCTCTATTCATCTCAGTCGATATCAAACCGCACAATTGATAGCTACTCCAGCAAAACACAATAATAATGTGAGAGCGTTCTCGGCTCGGCTATAAAAGACAGAGCCGCGATTTTTCAGAGTCACAAAGGAAGGGAAAGACTCCGAGAGCAATAATGATTCTCCAAAAAATGTCGGTCTCCATGGCTCTTCTCGCCATCATCGCTGGTTTTCTGCCCGCAGAAGGTGTTTTGGAGTGCGGAAGTCCTGCGTACAAGATGATGATGAAACACCCCAAGCTGTGAGTTCCTTCACATCCCCCATTCAATATCCCTGTCTCAGCCCTAAAGTCTTTATAATTATATAGTAATTTTGTACCATTGTTTAGAAATAATGGGCTGAAAGAATATCAATGGTTAGAGTAATTTTTCACGACCAGTACAATAGTTGGGCTTGGTAATTATTTTGAGTGAAAATGGTGCAAAATGCCCGCTTCATTTTCAGATTGTCGGCACTGAGTGATCCTGGTGAGTCGTCAGCGGTCATCAGGGAACTAATGCAATGCCTGATGGAGAACCACTACGACTTCTGCAAGCCGGACACGAAAATGCTCGAAACTAAGTGTTCGGATGAGTTGGCGGCTGTTGAAAAGTTTTTCGACGAAGTTTCTTCCCCCCTGTCTCTACTTGGGAAAAGGGAAATAAAAGAGGGCAACGAGGAAAGGTAATTATGTATGAAATTATAGTTCATAGCATACCAGCCATAGGTAGGTAGATAAGGCATGCATACGTACGGTTTTTATGGATGCAGTAGCTATATACGATAGTTGGGCTGTGGTTAATTGGCGATATTTTTGAGTTTAAACTTCCAACGCAAAGCATGCTGCAATAATACCATTTTCATGATTTTTGTGATGTCATCTACAACTATCGGTATCAAATCTCTTGCATTACAGTGAATAAGGGACACCTTTGGGTCTTCAAAAGTGTCCTTCATAGAAATCCCTTATTCAGTAGTATAATTATTTTATTCAGCCAATCTTCATTTATGTGTCCTTTTGCAAGGTTTGTCTCTGCATCTGCGGCTCTGTACTTAATGGAAAATGTTTCCTCCTTATAGATTACTAGGGAAAAGACATCCGTCTCGGCGTGGATACGGAGGTGGATCGGACAGGAGTCACAGTTCACGATCTGGATCTCGATCTGGATCACGCTCTGGATCACGCTCTGGTTCTCGATCTGGATCTCGATCTGGATCACGCTCTGAATCAAGCTCTGAATCATGCTCGGAAATGAGTCACAGTCATTCACATGGTCATAGATACCCTCAAAGGTACAGCTCTTTCATAAGAAGAAGAGCTGCCCTGGGTGGGATTCGAACCCACGACACTCTGCTTTCTATATAGGCGAGCGCATGTACAGGTGGAGAAGAGGTTAGGGGTCGTCAATTTCTTGTGGTCCCAATAACCCGGTGATGATAGAGCTTAAAGGGACACGTTGGGAACAGCGAAATTGGTCCCTCAAAGGTGTCCGTAATAAAAGAGGATTAATTGTGGGGCAAACATAGAGAGGTGTCATTTACTCAGCAGTTCACCTGCAACACACCCATTGAAACTGCCTATTAAATGTTCGAAAATAGATCATCAAATTAATCACCAACATAATATTATACCCTACAAAATGGTTTTTATTTCAGATATTTGAGGTTCGTGGCATACTTTGTGAAGTACATTGTGATGAATATTGATACTTGCACCTCCGAGCAAGGAGAAGGAAATGAGCGAAGAAGAAGACAAGTAAATGGAGGAGGGAACGGAGAAGGAACCGGAGGAGGGAACGGAGAAGGAACCGGAGAAGGAACCGGAGGAGGGAATGGAGGAGGAAACGGAGGAGGAAACGGAGGAGGGAACGGAGGAGGAAACGGAGAAGGAACCGGAGGAGGGAACGGAGGAGGAAACGGAGGAGGGAACGGAGGAGGAAACGGAGGAGGGAACGGAGGAGGGAACGGAGGAGGGAACGGAGGAGGAAACGGAGGAGGAAACGGAGGAGGGAACGGAGGAGGAAACGGAGGAGGAAACGGAGGAGGAAACGGAGGAGGAAACGGAGGAGGAAACGGAGGAGGGAACGGAGGAGGAAACGGAGGAGGGAACGGAGGAGGGAACGGAGGAGGAAACGGAGGAGGAAACGGAGGAGGAAACGGAGGAGGGAACGGAGGAGGGAACGGAGGAGGAAACGGAGGAGGGAACGGAGGAGGAAACGGAGGAGGGAACGGAGGAGGAAACGGAGGAGGGAACGGAGGAGGGAACGGAGGAGGAAACGGAGGAGGAAACGGAGGAGGAAACGGAGGAGGGAACGGAGGAGGGAACGGAGGAGGAAATGGAGGAGGAAACGGAGGAGGAAACGGAGGAGGAAACGGAGGAGGGAACGGAGGAGGAAACGGAGGAGGGAACGGAGGAGGGAACGGAGGAGGGAACGGAGGAGGGAACGGAGGAGGAAACGGAGGAGGGAACGGGGGAGGAAACGGGGGAGGAAACGGAGGAGGAAACGGAGGAGGGAACGGGGGAGGAAACGGAGGAGGGAACGGGGGAGGAAACGGGGGAGGAAACGGAGGAGGAAACGGAGGAGGAAATGGAGGAGGGAACGGAGAAGGAGGTGGGGAAGGTGATAAAGGATGTCTTCAGAGGCTTCTGATGGAAGCATTCATGAAGTTCTTTTCAGCCCCAGAGCCAAAGTGGGAGGCAAAGTGGGAGGTGTAGTCTGCCAAAGTACACTTGAACCTCGTTGAACTCATAGTGTTAGTTATTTAGATATATACTAGCTCTTCCCATTAGCTTTTCAAACTTTTTACCTTAAAGTATTATTATTTGCATGCTCTATGCTCTTACACTGCAACTGAAGCAAAATGTATTATCATGATTCAAATGAACAAAACTGGTTGTGCGACTATAATATGACGTCCACGTTATTATTGCAGCAAGATGTTGCAATTAATTAACTCTGTTGGCCTCACACCTAAACCGGTTAATATGGTATTTATAGCATAGAGTGCACCTAATTTAGCCAATACAAACAGATGACATACAATCCCAATGCATTTTTAAAGATGACCGCGTTACTAACGTTACTAATATACAGTGCATATCATCCCTTTGCCTTGTTATAGTGTGGCATTACCGAGAATAAGTACTAATATGGCATAGCTGTACCGATCGTATGCTGTACTAGTGAGAGTCATGTCGCGAGCCAGTCGATTTGCAGTCGTTCTGGTGGTGCTCGTTTTTGTGAAACACTCGGTCTCGGAGTTTGGTGATGCTATTGAAGGGTGTCTGGAGCTCACTCTACCAGAAGTTAAACAGTAAGTCTAGAAACTAGAAACTAGAAACTAGAAACTAGCAAGTGGCGTTTTTGTTTCCACTTATTGCCTATACCCTGACATGTTACGTTGGCCTTGTTGGATCATAATTTTTCTGCCTAGGATGGCAAAGTAGCACTGCTAAAAGGTTAGCAAGACTCAAGACGACAAATTGCCCTGAATGCAAGCACTGTTTTGCCTTGCCTGGCAGGCCCCACTGGCAGAAAAAAATTACAGATAAAAAGAAACTATCTAAGAAAATAACCCCTCAAATGGCACGATTCTTTCCCTTTAAAAGGTACTCAGGGAAAGCTAGTGCACAGTCAGTCAAAGAGACATTCACTTGCCTACTGGAAGCTAGATATGATCCGTGTGAGGTACTTGGAACTGCTCTACTCTCGTATCCACACCTCCAGCGACGAATAAAGCTGGAGATTGCTAGACAGTGTCATTTTAACGAGCAACCCAATACTGGGGATGCAGTGATGTCAGGGGAGGGGGAAGAGAGTGCGGAAGAATCTAATAATAGAGATGCTGATCGATCGAAGGGTACACCGCGGATTGTTGGGAGGTCACAAACTCGTACTGTGAGAATGAGTCCCGGGACCAGGGGTATGAGTCCCAGGACACGTGGTACTGCGAGAATGAGTCCCGGGACCAGGGGTATGAGTCCCGGGACACGTGGTACTGGTTCCCGGAATACGACCAGAACACCGGGAACAAGAACCGCAACTCGTGCAATGAGTCCCGGGACACGTCCTAGGACACGTGGTACTGGGTCCCGGAATACAACCAGAACACCTGGAACTGGTACCAGGACTCGAACAAGGAGTCCCGGGACACGTGGTACTGGGTCTCGGAATACGACCAGGACACCTGGAACTGGAACCAGGACTCGAACAAGGAGTCCCGGGACACGTGGTACTGGGTCTCGGAATACGACCAGGACACCTGGAACTGGAACCAGGACTCGAACAAGGAGTCCCGGGACACGTGGTACTGGGTCTCGGAATACGACCAGGACAAGAGGAACGACTAGGGGTACAGGAAGAACTGGGACTAGAACGAGGACACCGGAGCCTCAAGTTGCACAGCTGCAGCAGCAACAGTCATCGCCGGGGCTCCCAGCTGCTGGAGAATCGCGTGGAGACGGTGCAATGGTTACTCTCATTGTCGTAGTTCTGGTTCTTACTACTGTACTTGGTGAGTTTTAATGATGTCAGTGCATGAGGGGTAAAAGATGGAACTAAACAAAGTTTCCGTTTTAAGTAACAGTTTAGCCTACCATATACTCCCACATTCCCTTTAGTAAAGTGTTTACTGTTGTATACACAGGTGGCTGGATATCTAACTTATACTCCCACATTCCCTTTAGTAAAGTGTGTTTACTGTTGCACACACAGGTGGCTGGATATCTAACTTATACTCCCACATTCCCTTTAGTAAAGTGTGTTTACTGTTGCACACACAGGTGGCTGGATATCAGTGTCATATCTCCCACATTCCCTTTAGTAAAGTGTTTACTGTTAATACACACACAGGTGGCTGGATATCGGTGTCATACCTAACATACCACTGTCGCAAGAACCACCCAAAGAGATGGACAAACATCTCATCAATCGTTCTCGTGTAGAATTACACAAGAATTACCCTCCCTACCAGCCCTTAATACTTAATACCGAACTCATAAAGGACACAGTAAAATGAGGTTAATGCTCAATCTCTTTTGGTGAATAGTGTATCATCACAACAGAAGTCATGCATGAACACTTTATGCATCAGTTCTGAGTAATGTGTGCATATGTGAGAGTTCCTGTGTAGCAATACCACAAAGTCATAGCATGAGTTAATCCATGTACTGTATTTCGATGTAGTGTTGTGAGAGATGGAGAGGTAAAGCGTCATACTAAAATAGAGCGAGATGCAATACTCGATTTCCTGCGTTTCTTACGACAGCCTTGTTCGTCATCTGTGAGTGAGTTTTCCTGACTGCAACTGAGTTCGAATTCGAGAGTCTGCGGGAGAGAAAAAGGGGGGGAAGAGGGAGGAGGAAGAAAAGGAGGGAGGGAGGGAAGGAGAAAGAGAGAGATAGAGAGAGAGAAAGAGAGAGAGACATGTCTACAAAGCAGTCATGGGTTTCTGGGTGTAGTTCCCTTGCCTTGCCTTTACCTCACTATAATATACCAAGTTGTTGAGACATGCAGCAGTCTACCTGATTTGCGACAGATCTAATTCTCTTTGCCACGATGCGTGGAGATCTTCGAACTCCACTCTCACCATCATCCGCCTGAAGAGCAGTCACCTGTATAGCCAAGTAACACAGTGTGTTATAGTCTGCAACACATACTGGGATTGCATCACGTACAGCAGTTTTTTTGGAAAAGATCATCAAATAAGGGATGGCACATTTAGCATCTGAGCTACTGACGAGGTACACTGGATGTATATACAGTTGTCCTGGGTGTAGCAGACTTGTTTGTTGTGCCTCTACCTTTCTACCTTGTAGTTGACACACAGTAGTAGTAGCTTATAGTGTTCGTTATTTTGTGCGGTGTATTAGTAATTCAGTCCCAAATTTTTTTTGAGGTTTTTTTTTGGGTTTTTTTTTCTTGCTGTTGATCTTGTAGTTTAGCTACATGTATATACGTTTTTTTTCTTCTTTTTCTTTTCTTTCGTCCCAATGTGATTTATGATTTATATTACAGCTGAACTGGTTGTAGTAGTAAACTGTTTAAAAGTCTAGAGGTGTTGCGAAACAGACAGACCTGGGGTGAAGGTACGATGCCCCGCCCTGGACACGTCTGACTGATGCTGAGGGTCGAAGTGCCGTTTGTAATATCGGCTAGCTTCTTCCCTCCCTCGTCCCCATTCCGTTCCAGAGTCTTGGAATGGGACGGCACAGTCACCTGTGACTTGGCTCTGCCCCTGGTCTGTAGCAATCATCAGTAGTACGTATAAATAAATCAGGACCGCTCTCAATGTGGACAGTGCTTTACAAACCTTCTCAAAGTATTTCTTGATGCCGTCCATCCTAATGCGGTCTTTATTCACAATCTTCCCAAGCCTGTGTGGGAGCAGTACATGCATACCACAGGGCGTCAATGGGCACGCGTATATCAGTTCATACGCGTTTACTTACGCCCAACATTAAAAGAACATTTTCGTGTTGTAGATGCATTGCACCTTTTTTCTGACTAAATCTGTGTCGTTCTTTTTTTTTTATTTCATGGGGGTATATACAATTTATACATTTATCCCACTTTTTGCATGGTGTAAAGTTCCGTTTAAAAATACGACTGTTCTGATTTTTATATAGTTTGGACACACCACACCTTTCATTACAATATTCAAAGATATCCGGTATCCCCAACTTTCTGGGGATGGGCGGTTACAGATTGTACCAGGCCTTTTTTCCTTTCCCGCAAAAAAACGGTGACTATAAAAGGAACGACAAGGCTATAGAGCGCGTCGCGCCCCCTCGAGTACGAGAAGGCGTGGCACGCTCTATTTGTGCATTAGCTATAGTAATAATAATAATACTCAGGTGGCTGCCATAGCACTAGGGCCATAGACCACGCACCCAGAGCAATGGGCGGAACCGTTAACACACGAACATACACCATATGAACATGAGGTGTCTGTCTCACCTCCCAGACACCTCAACTCACCCCTTCCACCAGCGACACCCTGCAGCTCCCCAGACACAATCTGAGACTGGGTTTGTTGTACGTGGGGACTATCGCCGTATAACCTAACCTTTCTTAGCTCCCAAACATCCAAAATAAAATCTTTAACAAGGCCAAGCAAAGAACCAAAATTATCCTCCCACAGTTCACTACCCAATATAAAGGATGCTTTCCTGAAACTATCAAGCGACTGGAAATGCTCAAACCCATCATCCCCAAGCTTCCCCTGCAGGGCAACTAAGAAATTGCTCCTAAGACTACTATATGCTGGACACTCCCACAACACATGACTCACACTTTCACACTCATCATCACACAACAGGCACTCTTTCACCCCCTCCCTCCCCCTATGCCTGCCCAGTTCCTCATTTAGCCCATGCGTGCCTGACCTGAACTTAAACATTAATCTAGACCCAGCATCACTTTTCCCATGCAAGTACTTTTTGAACTCTACCACCTTGTTAAATGTCTTATACAATAACAGCTTTACTTTGCTATTTAGCCCCTCTTCAAACTTTCTAATCTCCCTCTCATTAATACTGTCCCCTATTATAGACAAAAAGCCCTTCAAGGAGCAATCCCCATTTTGAATATCATGCAACCACTCTGCCTTGTCAAGACCTAATGACGAAAAGAGATCATCAATGACCTTACTCCAACCCTTCCTCTGCCTGCCTCTCCGTGGCTTAAAATTCCATTCCTGCTTAAAAAGCTTCTTCGGATACCTATTGCCTGGCAATGCCGCTAACTTATACCACCACTTAGCTATAGTAATATTGAAAAGATAAGATAGGAAGACGTAAGCAGAGCGCTTTTTCCACGAAGGTAAGCGGGTAAACACGCACCTAGCGCAACGCGCTATTTTGCTTTGCGCGTTATCTAAGTACGTAAAAGGCCCCTCGAGGGGCCTTGGGTCCCAAAGTTAATCCCTAGCCCCTATATACCCTAAAAATCTTTTTTCAGATTTGTGAGGTTCGTCATACATTCTGAGGTTACATTGCTACTTGCAACAATGGAGAGAGAAATACACAGAGAAATGGAGAGAGAAGCGGAGAAAATATGGGAGAGAGAAATGGACAACAGAAAAATGATGGGGAGAGAAATGGAGAGAGAAGCGGAGAGAATATGGGAGAGAGAAATGGACAACAGAGAAATGATGGGGAGAGAAATGGAGAGAGAAGCGGAGAGAATATGGGAGAGAGAAATGGACAACAGAGAAATGATGGGGAGAGAAGTGGAGAGAGAAGCGGAGAGAATATGGGAGAGAGAAATGGACAACAGAGAAATGGAGAGAGAAATGGACAGAGAAATGGAGAGAGAAATGTAGAAAGAAATGAAGAAGGACTAATAAATATATATCATACATGATTGTTTATGAATGTATGTGCATAGCTGCTCTTTGCTAAGGGCTAAATTTAGAAACTGTTATATACTGAAACACTGAAGTCGGCGCACTGTGTGACGCGCACGCGCAAGTAAACGCATGCGCCGTACCACTAATAATTTGATGGGCTGGGTTTAGTTTTAGCTGTTACTCGTGGTCTCTTGCCAGCTCGCGCAGAGTCTGTCGCGGGCTAACTACACTACTAGATAGTATGCGAGATCTTCTGGTGCCTCCGAAGTACGCAGAGCACGCGGATCGATCCGACTGTGGTAAGCCATCCCGTCCGTTGTGTATTTGCATATTGGCTTTTTCGCGCTCTAGCTTTGCAACGGAGAAGTTTCAGAGAAAACCGTTCGAAATTTCTGACCTTCATTGCCCGTTAAGTAGGTCGTATCCTTTGTGAGACGAACAAACACCCGAGAAGTGAGATTGAGAGTAACACACAGACTGACAGACACACACAGACAAACCCAATGAAAAGCACTAAAGTGCAAACCCTCGGCGAACTGGGGATGCGGGGTACCTCTAATTGATGGGCTGGGCTGCTATTAGTATGCGTTTACTCGTGGTCTCCCGCTAGTAGCTCGCAGAGAGTCTGACACGGGCTAGCTACAGTAGTAGATAGCATGCGGGAGTCGATACACGCCCTTCGTTGTGACTTCTCGTGCCTTCAAGATACACAGAGCAAGCCGACCCGAGCCTGTTGAAAATATAAGCGCATGCGCATTTTCCGCAGCGATAAAAATGGCCGACTAGCATTAGCCGTACAATGGCGGAAGCGCTCTAGCTTTGCAACGAAGCATTTTCAGAGAAAACCGTTCAAAATTTCTGACCTTCATTGCCCGTTAAGTAGGTCGTATCCTTTGTGAGACGAACAAACACTCGAGAAGTGAGATTGAGAGTAACAGACACACGGACGGACAGACCCAATGAAAAGCACTAAAGTGCAAACCCTCGGCGAAGTAGCTCGCAGAGAGTCTGACACGGGCTAGCTACAGTAGATACAAGCACGCGAGCGAGATGACTTCTTGTGCCTTCAAGATAGACAGAGCAAGCGGACCCGGTCGAGGTAAGCCGCCTGTGCTAAATACAAGCGCATGCGCATTATCCGCCAGCGATAAAATGGCGACTACCGACATTAGCCATACAATGCTGGATGCGCTCTAGCTTTGCAACGAAGCATTTTCAGAGAAAACCGTTCGAAATTTCTGACCTTCATTGCCCGTTAAGTAGGTCGTATCGTTTGTGAGACGAACAGGCGTTCCAGAAGTGAGATTGAGAGTAACAGACAGACTGACAGACAAACCCAACTACTGTACCCTCGCTGCGTATGCGCGCCGAGGGTTAACTACTGTACCGCATGCGCGCCGATGGTTAATGAGGGCAGTTATACCTTCAGTAGCACTTTTGAAATGGTTTAGTTCTATATTTAGTAACATTTCTAAATTCTACTGCCACATTCCTTTTACAATTTAAAAACACACCTCTTATTTTTCATGGGGACTCTGACGTAACCCTCTCTCTCCAGTCTGTTGATGAGACCTTGAGCCACCGAAACTGCCACTCCTTTTATAACATTATCATTTCCTTTGTTACTTCATAATATAAGACACGAAATTTGTTGTTGGTTACCCAATGTATAGTATGCCATAAGAAAAACAAGTTATGAACATGGGTTACGAGCTAAAAAACAATGAAAAATGCTGACCAGCAGATTTCGTGATCAAAACTTAGTCTTATATGAAGAACCAGCCATTTCAGACAAGTCATAATCATCACAAAATACTTCATGCGTGCATCCCCAATATGCAACGAACATAATCACAAAGGTTTTCGAGTCGTCGTATATACTACATGTACACTGAAAAATGATGAAAAAAAGTGAAACTTTGGAGAATTGAACTCCACTTATTCCCCTAACTCGGAGGGAATATTACAGTAACGAGGCAGAACCAAATGTTTTTTTCGGGCCACGAATGCCGGGGCTCCCAGTGGGCCATTTTTGGTAAGCAGAACTGGCGATGCGGGATGAACCGAATGCCGGGTTAAGGTGCCCGAATCGACGCTCATCAGATCCCAACTAAGTTTCAGAGGTATCACTGTATTAGAGAGCATTCAACACACCAAAGTTTCCAGTGATACAGTGTTCTCTAGCAGCATGCCATACACATGCCCTACCACCTGTGTATGTATGCATATGTGTAAGTGTTTTTTCTTTCTGTTTCACTGTATTTCAGAGAGCATTAAATACCAGTGGTGGATCTAGGATTTTGAAAGAGGGGGTTCCACTGTTCTTGATTGCACTCCTGTGCGCACACGAGGCCGGCGACGCATGCGATAAAAGGGGGGTTCTGCGGAACCCAAGGAACCCCCTGGATCCACCACTGAATACACCCAAGTTTCCAATGATATAGCAGCATGCCACACACATGTCCTACCACCTGTATGTGTGTGTGTGTATGTGTATGTGTGTGTGTGTGTGTGTATGTGTATGTGTATGTGTGTGTGTGTATGTGTGTATGTGTATGTGTGTGTGTATGTGTGCACGTGTATATGTACGTACCAAGTCTCCTAGCAAAAGGAGGTGGAATGACACGGTTGAACTCCAGACTGGCCAAAATGGCTCTCCTCCACAGACAAGCAGCCTTCACAAATAAACAGCAATTCAACAGGTGGACTCTATTAGTTATAATGCAGACCAGCTACTATATTATACAGCAGACACTACACATTATATATACCTGGGCAGTAACGGGATCCAGAGTTTGGAGAAACTGATCTGTACAACTGATTTCAGACTCGCCTTTCGACTGAGAATAAAGAATCATACAAATCTTTGTATCACACGTGAACACTATCTGTTCTTTAGCTTTTATGTACTTCTCTCTTAAAAGGGAAAGATTCTTCCCGTTCGCTTTATGCAGAAAATCCCTCTGCTATCCTTGTGCTGCTTACACATACCGGTTGGTTTTGTGAGCACTGGACGCAGATGTGTGTTTCCGGGACGTCTTTCTCGGTGAGCAGAGCGAAGCAGACAGCATGCTGCCACTTGCTGCAGACGGCACACAGCACCATCAGTCCATCATCCTGCCAGGAAGAGTGAGTAGCTAGTTCAGTGAAGAGTGAGTAGCTAGTTCAGTGAAGAGTGAGTAGCTAGTTCCGTGAAGAGTGAGTAGCTAGTTCAGTGAAGAGTGAGTAGCTAGTTCAGTGAAGAGTGAGTAGCTAGTTCCGTGAAGAGTGAGTAGCTAGTTCAGTGAAGAGTGAGTAGCTAGTTCAGTGAAACCTCAGAGAAAGGACCCTCCGAATAAAGGACCCCTTTCTTTATAAAGGACACTTGGTTCTGCCCCATACTAATACATTAGTGACACCTCCGAATAAAGGACACCTTTCTTTATAAAGGACACTTGGTTCTGCCACATACTACTACATTAGTGACACCTCTGAATAAAGGGCACTTTTCTATAAAGGACACTTGGTTCTGCCCCATACTAATACATTAGTGACACCTCTGAATAAAGGACACCTCTCTATAAAGGGACATTGGTTCTGCCCCATACTAATACATTAGTGACACCTCTGATACAAGGACACCTCTCTATAAAGGACATTGTTTCTGCCCCATACTAATACATTAGTGACACCTCTGAATAAAGGACACCTTTCTTTATAAAGGACACTTGGTTCTGCCACATACTACTACATTAGTGACACCTCTGAATAAAGGACACCTCTCTATAAAGGACACTTGGTTCTGCCCCATACTAATACATTAGTGACACCTCCGAACACATTAGTGTATCATGAACCTCTGAATAAAGGATACTTCCATTTTTCCAAAGTTACCCTTATTGAGATGTAAACACGCACACAAGTGTGTACTGACCTCGTTACATCCACAAGGGCAGAGCACCACATTTTCCTCAGGTACTGTGCTCTTGCTCCTCCTCCCACCGTGATTGTCTCCCCCTCTCTCCCTCTCCACCTCTCCTTCCTCTCTTCTCCTTCTCTCCTCTCTCTCCTCCTTCCTCCCAACTGTGCGCCTGCCGTTAGCACGAATAATGGTCTGACCCTCACTTGTATCCATTTTTTCGTTGTTCTGAAAGGTACGGAAGTGGAATAAGACGGTTGTACGTATAACTATATAATAGCTGGACAAAACCTTTTATTACCGCCCCAGAAAATTTTTCTCTTTTTTTTTTGTGTTGGGAAATTGTAGGAATGTGTCAGTATATACATAAGGGGTAACGATGGCCTGTGTGGAAGAACTGTTTTTTGTAAAAATTTTCTCTAACTTTAGTATAATTATTATACCCTCTGCAAAACCTGAAAATTTAGGGAACACTTACGTCTGTCTGTGCGTGGGGCACGGTGGCTGAAGATTCTGTAGTCGGTAAGGCAGCATCCCCTTTACACTCACCTACAGCTATAAAATTCAATTCCTGATTAAAAAGCTTCTTCGGATACCTATTGCCTACAGCTATAATATAGACAGAACGTGAAAGGTCAAAGACTAGGGGCAGCAAAAAGGTGAAAGATAGATAAAGGTGGGAGCAAAAATATGTGCTTGAAACTGATGAATTCATATATTTTTCTTGTTTGAGAGTACAGTTGGGTACAAGTGAGAGGCAAAAACGATAGAGGTGGGGGGAGCAAAGAAATGTACTTGCATTCGTAGATTTATCATTCATGAAAAAACATGTTTATAGCATACTAGCTCAGAGGAGAGTCTTTTATGGGCCCAACTCTCCCTACACACCCAGTGTCCCAACCTCCCTTATGTTTGTGTTATGGTATGTGCTGACCGGTTTTGTGAGGTACAGATGGTTGGGTGATTGCCCTTTTCTCCTTTTTCTGACTAGAAATGTGGCTGTCTGCCGTAGCGCCATCTTTCCCCCTCTGCTCTCCCTCAATCTCCTTTATTTAACAGAATGTACATGAATCTCATTAGTTCCCAACCACAAGTGCTGCTGCGTTCATGGCAGCCTTTATAAACTCGTGATGCCAAAGAGAGAGAAGTTGGGGTATGCTCTGCTGATGAGGGCCAACAAGCCCGAAACAGCTGTCCAGAGCTCCCCATCTTTTTTTCTCTTGGCATCACATGGTCTAATACCTTCATTCATTTTACACTCGTAGTTATGGGTTGGTGTGGTTTGCGAGTTCGAAAATTACAACCGATTTGGAGTTTAAATCTTTGTCTTTCTCACCTCTATCTGCGAAGCCACCTCCTCGTCCTCACATACAGCAAACTGCTGGCAATCTGTCTTTATTCTCAGCTTGACACTGCGTTGGGTTTAGACAGAGAAAAACTTTTAACCCTTTGGACACCATGGGTATCTGCTTAAATAAGCAGAAACTGATGTATAAAGTATTAGCGCCTAGTAGTATAACCCCTATAAAAAATTTCTTATGGACTTATGAAGGCTCTATGTGTCCGTGGCTGGTTAAGTGATAAGGAAGGAGGAAAAATAGGTACGAAAGCTCAGACATTAAAAATTTAAGAGACAGTTTTCACATGCAGTGCAGTGCGGATATTGATAGAATATCTACACCGTTAGAAAAGAAAAGAAAAATATATATATATATATATACCAATTTTGATTATCTATGACTTACGAATGAAAGGGCTGAAGATGTCCCCCGTTGATGGAAAACAGAGATCAAAGTGCAGAAAGAAAACACGAATCAAAAAGAAATGTAGTCAGGTAACGATAACGAATCTTGTAGATGGTTCTTCGATTGTCCATACCGTATCAACGTCACCGACTCTGATGTTCATCGGTGCCTCTTTGAACACGAAATCTTCGGCCGCCGTAGCTTGGAACCCAGGAGGCTCGTACGTACCCGGTGTCACTATTAGTGGGAACGTGACAGTACGTGAGGGCTAAATTTAGAAACGTTACTATAAAAGGAAACGTAATTGGCATTCTTGCACTGGTCCTATTGTTTAGTGCACTCTTTAGTATACTGTTTCTAAATATAGCCCTTGTGCACTGCCAAATCCCTAAACTTAGTCCTAGGTTTGCGAAAAAGCTAGAAGTAAATTTTTAGCTGATTATAGAGAATCTAGTCCTAAGAATGGGGCAATACGAAAGTGGTGAGTATGAGTTGATGTAGAAATAGCCTACCATCATCGTAATAGTAGAGTTTCATTGTCATCATGACATCATCTGTGAACGGTTAGTACAGCAGTGATACTTGGGGTAAAAACGTGTGTGGCTAACTGAAGGTATTGACTTGGCAAGATAATAGTAATTGGGGCCGATTTGGTACTTATGCACAACCGCTGGCATTTTTAATCCCGACCGACCACATTTAACCCTTTGGACGCCATGGGTATCTCTTTAAATAAGCATAAATTCATGTACAACATATTAACGCCTAGTATTATAACCCACATATAAATTCTTATGGACTTATGGAGGCTCTGGGCATATATACAATGCCCGTCGCTGGCTAAGGGTTAAATATGGCCAAACATTTGGGTTACTAGTATAATATTGTAACACTGTTGGTGAGGCGTCTCACCTGGTAAAGGCTTTAGAGTCTGTGTCAGAACCACTATAGTCCTGTATGGAGGGTTGGAAAACCAGACCGCATAATGGAAGTAGGATGACATATCTGACTGTGTATACGTACACATGGATAGTGTATATACTAGAGGAATGCAATGCATTGTTGGCGAGCGGAGTGCGAGCAGTTCGTTATTTCACACGACTAGGTAGGCTAGCTTCACTCGCCAACAAAAGAGCAAAACTGGGGAGCTTACCTCAGTAGCTTGATTGTGGCTTTCCGTGTCTCGGACTCAGTATAGGCTCCTGCCAGCTTGCTCCCATTCCTGATGCAGAGAGAGAGAGAGAGAGAGAGAGTTAAAGGGAGTGTGGCAGTATGAGAGAAAACGATTACTAAAAACGCTGACCGGAATATTGTCACCCCTTCCTCTCGATTGTAGCCAAACTAGTTGGGAGAGATTAAAACAAAATCAACGTATAATCAGACTTTTGCATGATTGAAGCACTATATAAAAGCTATGTAGCCAGAGCACGCTAAGGACACCCCTGAAATGAAGACACCTCTCTAATAAGGACACCTTTTCTTTCCCCAATAACAGTTCTTGCATGCAATTTAACCCCTGAAATAAGGACACCTCACTAATATGGACACTTTCTTCCCCAAGAACAGTCCACACATGCAATTTAACCCCTGAAAAAATCACGGTCAATATCTTCCATCCCATTGGTGTCTGGATTAGAGGGCTTTGTATGCTTTGATATACACGTACCTTGAAAGTATAAGTCTCAACTGCAGTCTGAGAAAAAGTAGATATAAACGTAAGGTCTATTCACATTACCCACCAACTCACATTTTGATCAGTGTTGTCTTCATAAATCTGCAGACAAGATTTCACGAAGAAGAAGAAATGAAAAATATATACACGTTTCAGGTAAAACATTAGCTCACCCCAATGACGATGGTCTTCAGCTGAACGTAGCATTTGTTGCGTGCACAAAAGAAAAAACACAAAATTAGTTACTGAGACTTGGAATAATTACAGAAAGACTTTACGTATTTCTTGTCCAGTGCGTCAAAGCAACCTTTGACCCACTGGATGACTTGGCAGGCTCCCGGACAGGCGCTGTCGTCTCGGAGGATCTTCAGACTTAGGTCTGGGGTGGAGAGGGAGGGAGAGAGAGAGAGGGAGGGAGGGAAAGAAGAAGAGATTGAAAGACCATAGATCTCTTGACTATATACGCAACCATAGTATGGTAGTCTAGAGTATCAATGGTAAAACCAACCAACTAACCCTCCAAGCATCTGTCGCCAAAGGCATGCTCGGGAAAAATGGTCCTGTGTGTGAAAATAAACCATCAGTTTTAGCGAAAGCGGCAGCTATATTATAGCAACCACACCACGCTGATTACCTCAGGTAAGAGATGTTGGATATCTGTCATGAAAGAAAGAAGAAAAGCAGATAATACTCTGTATAATATACAGCGCTACATAGCTAATAGAGAGCGGGCACTCACCGCGACTGCGAGCAGTTTCTTGACAAAGAGAGCGGACTGTTGTTGCGTGACTTGCTCCGTGGGGAATATGGTCGACCACTGTACGTCGGTTATATACACACAGTAGCTACTTGCCCGTTGCTACACACAGAGTTGTACACTGACCGTGTTGGTCTGCTGTCTTTGCTGCTGCATGGTGGCCATGACGGCTTCTCTGTTCTGCTACTAATTGTAGTTTTCCGTTTGATTTTCTCTCCCCTCTTCTCTTCTTCTTCGATCGAGAGCTTCTGTTTACGGCTGCAAATTTCCCGCGAATATCTGCGGCGCGCGGTAAGGACCGTATACGTTAAGTATACGGATTATGGTACCCGTATAACTATAGAATACGGAGTCGGACTCTGCCCCCGCGCCATGTGGTGGAAGCTGACTCGAAGAATAAGGCCTTGTGAAAAGCTAACTGTATCGTCGTCGGCGCTGCAGAAACTGCTCCGTGCGTGTGGGATAATGGCTGAGGACCTCGCATCTCCGCCACCCGCTAAACGGAGGTGCGCGGAGCCCGAGGCCGGCGAGGAGGAGCCGCAAACGCTCGTAGCGTCTCGTGATGAACACAACATTGATGATGATGATGATGATGATGATGCTAGCAAACCATTAATAGAGCCACCTGAGCCAGTCAAAGTATAGTGTATCAATGCACACGCACAGGGTTTGCATAAAGATAGAGCAATAATACTTATTCCACCATTTCTTTGTCTTTCTGTCCATTCATTTTCTGACGTATTATCATGTATTATAGAAAGTACGAACTTCTAGCTATCATAAATTTTGTTCAATAGTTTCAGAGAATCAAAAGAAAAAAGTGTGCCCTTCTCCTTTCCTACAACGGTCAGGGCTACCTCGGAATGCAACTGTAAGCATACGAACTGCGTGATAAGTTTTTGTCAACGATTTCGTTTGTTTCTGTCCTCGTTCCGTACCAGGAATCCCGGAACCAAGACAATTGAGAGAGACTTGCTCGAGGCACTGGCCAAGGCTGAGGCTTTTCCTGACGAAATGAAATTGGATTTGGGAAAGGTAGTAATGATTATTAATTATACAGTGGAGCCCCTGTAATCCTGTTGTTCAGCTTCAGTTTCAGCGATGCTCGCGAACTGACAAAGGGGTGTCGGCAGCTAGACAAGTCGTCTCCATAAAGATAAGATTATTCCTTTTTTATTCTGCTAGTGCATCATTAATTGGGATTGTAATTTTTCATGGCTTGTTCACTTCCCCATTTCTTCTCTCAATATAAGAATGTACTTCATCTTCTATTGCGTTATTAATGGTCTCAGTTTTTCGTGTTTTTGTGTATTTTCTCCCTATTTCTTCTCTCAAGTATCTCCATTTATGTTTGTTAGTCTTGTTCATTTTCTCCCCATTTCTTCTTTCATTATTATACATGTCGCCTGAGAAGAGGGTCATTGAGCTAGCGAACCAGTACCTGCCACCTCAAATCAGGATAATGGGTGGGTGGTCCTCATTATACACCACACCCATTTCTGCTAATAGTACGTACTATGTACATGCTGCTGAGTATAGGACTTGTTTTAGTAACTTATATACCTCCAAGACCAATGTCTAGGTTCTCTAAGGACACTCCTGAAATGAGGCCACCGCGACACCTCGACTTTTCCCAAAAACAGTTCTTACATCCTAAAGTAAGGACACCCCAGTAATTTTGTCCCACTGGTGTCTGGATTAGAAAGGTTCTATATACTGTACTAGCATTTTCGAAATGAGTCTCGTTGATTTCTCTTTAACTTCAAGCAATAGTGATCGTCCCATTTCAATACAATCAGTTACAGAATTTTTGGCTGTTTGTTCCATTTCTGAAGGACTGCGCAGGGCGACAAAGACGTTCAATAGCAAGACAGCCTGCAGTTCGAGAACATACGAATACCTTCTTCCAACATATGCCTTCGCTCCCTACGCTGTAAGATCTCTATTCTCTATACATCTCATTTTACGATGATGATTTTTTTCTTTCAGTGGACAACACTGGACTATAGAATTGATGGTGAGACAAACCCAATGCTTTCACTTCCAGTAGTACATTGCTACTGGTAATATACATTGCCATATTATGGAGCTATTATTGCCTCACATAATCTATATGTGTGAAGCTATTACTATCTCTCATTTTGTCCATAAAATCAACACATGTGAAACGGAAAAATTCAAAAAAAAACTTGTAAAGCCAAGCGAAACACTAACAATTATCAAACTATAGAAAGGGAATGAATGGTATTAGCATAAAATTGTTGCATTCAAGATGTTTTCGTATTTGATGTGGGTGTCTATTGTAGACAGTACCAGAGAAAAGGTTGGCCGGCTGCTAAAGATGTATGAGAAATCGCACAACTACCACAACTTCACTTCTGGCAAGTACGTTACTATCGTTACTCAGCATAATGTATAGTGTGGAAATTTCGATGGATAAAAAATATCTGCAAATTTTTTTGGTGATATTTATAAGAAATGTGAATTTTCTTTGCAAAATTCTAGAACAGCAAATGTCTTCTGTAGTGTATGTATAATGTTGCGATAATGCTTCTCCATAGGAAATGTATTTTGGTATTTTTGTTCCATAGGAAATACGAGGAAGACAGTGCCATGAGACACATCATATCATTCACAGTTAGTCAAATATTTACAGCAACTGTATCAGTGCAGTTTCTTCTTTTGTTCAGTGTGATGCTCCCTTTCTTGCAAGTCGCTCGTCTCAGCCGCAAATATTGAATTCAACGACACAAGAAAAGAGAGAGGAAGAGAGAGAGGGAGAGAGAGAGGGAGAAAATGGGAAGGAATTGCAAACTAGCGCAAAGACTAAAACTGAGAGCAGCGAAGTAGAAAATGATGCTGCAAAGTGTGGTGATGAACAGAATGTAAAGATGGAAGACGGAAATGCTGTTGAAAAGAGTGACAGTGGTGCTGACTGTGGACACATGGGGAAAGAAGAGAGCAAACAATCTGCAAAGAAAGTCGAATTCATGACTTTGAAAGTATGTAAAGCCCTTTAGCCATACGTAGCTGTTTTGCCTTGTTGCAAGAATATTTTTCGTTTGAGCGTTTGCGGGACCAACTGCAACATTTTCTGCACAAAAGATCGCAATTGTGGTTCATTTTGCAAGTTTCCTCTGTAAAAATCCTTTAAAACCTGCAAAATTAACTTCAAATTGAGGGAAGCACGAAAACACACGTTTTTTCTGCATAATTTCACTCACCTTCTCAACACTATCTTTTAGAAAACTTTGTTCTTTTGTTGCTAACAGGTCAAAGGTCAGAGCTTCATGATTCACCAGATTCGGAAGATGGTGGGTCTCGTTATCGCCATAGTGAGAGGGTTTGCCCCTGAGACGACGCTCATTGAGGCTTTTCAAAAGGGGAAGGTTGATATTCCGAGAGCACCTGCATTGGGACTACTTCTGGAGAATGTGAGCCTTTCATACCAACTTGTTCACTGTCAAAGTATTGGTCGATGATAATATACTAGTTTAGCTACTAGTACTAGCAGATCATGACAGAGAAGCTCATGACAGAGATTTGAGGTCGGATTAAGAAGATTATGAAGGAAGGTTCAGTGGGGCATGCAAAATTTTGACACGTGAATACACATTGCAATTATGTGTGTATACACACGGTTCTGCTATAGCTATTATTGCACTACTGCCAATTGCGGGGTGTACTAATTGTATGCAAGTGTTAAGTGTTTTTCTCTGCCCTAAATGTACACAATGAAAGTGAAGTGACCAAGGAATGGAAGAGAGTGTTCTCGCGTAATTGCGCAACCGCAAGTGGGGGTAGCTATGTCTGATTCGCCACTGAAATTAGCTTGCCAACTGTAGCAGTTTCCAATATATATTCATACTTATGTATAATTGTACATCTCACGATTTACCAAGATAAAGTAGAGAAATAAAACACAATAAAAGACTGCAATAGGGACTTACAAAAACGTTCGTGTGGTGGTGCATGATGCAGCGATATTACAGTGACAAAGGTCGTATAAGGTATGAGAATAGCCAAGGTTATCAGGTAAAAATAGGGATAAGTTACTCTAATGTGACTATTTAGAGGGTAGCTTCTTCGTTGCATGATAAGCATTTCACTGGAATATTTGAACTCGATTGTTGTTGGTGTCACTGACGTAGATGTAGCCGTCATCTCTGGCAGCTATGGCATGTGGGTTTTTGAACTCTCCGTCTTTGTCCCCTTTCTTCCCAAATGACTTGATGTACTTGCCATTCTCATCAAATACTGATACTCTGGCATAGCTGAATTCGACGACATACACCCAGTCATCAGGTCCAACTGCCACACTGATTGGTCGTTCTAGTCTCTCTCCTGCTCCGGTGTTGGTGATGGATGACAGATGATGTCCATTGGAATCAAAAATCTGAACTCTGTTATTGCTAGAGTCAGCTACTAATACATTTCCATTTCTACAGACAGATATTCCCTCAGGCTCGTTGAATTGATCTGCCTCACTTCCCCTACTACCAAAGCTGCTATGGAATATCAAGTCATGGTTGAGGATTGTGATGCGATGGTTGCGAGTGTCACAGACATACATTCTGTTGTTGGTATGGTTGTAGGCTATGGCCCATGGTGCGTCGAACTGCAGTTGTCCAGTGCCCTGTGAACCCACTGATGCTATAAACCGACCTTTCAAGAGTGAATTTCTTGACACAGTGGAAGGCAGCCACAAACACTGTGTTATCGGAAGAGATGGCTACTCCTAGTGGTGCGTTAAGTCTGCTTTTCTCTGGTCCTGTGTGTCCAAATGATCGCAGCAGTCTGTGATTGCCGTCAAACACTTTCATACAACTAGAACCCGGCTCACAAACAACCATGTCACCAGTTTTGGCAAAAGCAATGTGCCGTGGTCTGTTGATCCCACCAATGGTCTTGACATGGCTCCCTTTAAACTGATCGTTCTCGTACTTCACTTCTCCTAATGTCTGACATGCTGAGCTCAAGTCTGCACACACTACACTAATCTCCTTCTCTGGACCCAACACCAGTTGCTGAGGTTTGAACTCCTCAGCCATCTCCCGTGCCCTCTCTCCACTTGTGTCTTCATCGACAGCACCTCCTCTTGTGTGCCACTCTGCAGACTCCCCTCCACAAACTCCACACAGCTGCTCAGCTGGGCCTGCCTCAACTCGTGTCCGTCGATCCGGGCCGCCAGCTCCTTCTTCCCTTGACACACCATACCGTCTATCTGGGAGTGAAGCTCCCTTCTGCGAGCATCTAGGATGGCCTGGAGCTTGTCTACTTCAGCATTCACCTGTGCCTTTGCCTCTATACCCTGTCCGTCTAGCCTGCTAGATCTTGCCTTCAGCTGTACAATGGTGCTCCCTACACTAGCAAGCTCGGATTTGACGGGACGTAGGGAAGCAAGGATCGCATCTCTGTGCTTCGGGAAGGCATCGGGGATGAGGTCGTAGTTGTGGTCGCGATGGGTCTTGACGGTGCAGTCGCGACAAATCAACTCGTCGCACGTCTCGCAGTAGATCTTGATCGACTCTGTTGCGTGTTTCGAACACATGGAGCTCACCTTTTTGGGTGTCACCATATTCGACGCCGTTTCTTGCACCTCGTCAAGGCTAGCGATTTCGTGCTCCTGAAATTCCTTCCACTTGCCGTGCATGGTAAGACAGAGCTGGCAAATGAACTGGCCGCAGTCCCGACAGAAACCCTTCACCTCTCCCTCCCCGCATTTATCGCACTGCGCCTTCTCCGGGTCCCGCA